CTCTGTGGCAAACGGTCAGTCAAAACAACGCTCAAGTAGCAATTATTGTTTTCATAAAGTTATTGTAGCTATTTTCAAAACAAAAACTAAATTCGTGGCGATTGTTCAAGTCAAAACCATTTACTGAACTCTTCAAGATATTCTGAGGATATTCATTAAGACAGAGTTAAGTGACAGGTTTACAGATAAAATTAGATAAAACTTCATTCTAGGTAATTCACATTCAATTCATACTGTTTTAATGCAAAAATCAGGATCACGTGTGTCAATATAATTTTAGTAAGAGTTAGGAGACAATTAAATGATTTGGTATCTGTAGATAATGCTACCATGACATGACAAACGTTTTACTTAAGTTCCACTCACGGTTACATACTATGTACTTAGGGTGTTTAAGTAGTAAAAATAGCATGCTAACGATAAGTACTATTACATAACATTTATGTTATTCTGTAAATCTATTCACATAAAATTAATTGCCCAGACTGACTGACTGATGTATCAACGCAGAGCCTGAACCCCCGGGCCACAAAACTTGAAATGTTGGCAGCTGATGCTTTTTATGTTAAAAGCACCTACTAGGAAACGATTTTTGAAAAATTTAACCCCTAAAGGGGTTTTTTTAATAAGGGATGAACGGTTTTATGACGGTTCGTCATTTTTAAAGCTAATAAGAAATAATCACGGGAGCGAACCAACGGCATTACCTAGTATGAGTATATTTATTTCTTTATTAGGGATAACAAACAATAGTACAATATTCAATAATATAATATTAATTTACCGACCATCTTTCATTAACAGCCTATAACAGTCCACTGCTGGACATTGGCCTCTCCTTAGAAAGGAGGTTTTGGCCTACTATACAACGCTGGCCAGACGGATGGATATAGGCTTTGTTCCAAATTCAAATTTTAGATTTTTGTTGTTAAATTAGCACAACTGTTTTCCATTGTGGCCCGGAGTTTGAGTTGCATCTGTTATTTTTATTAAATACAGTGCTGTTTTTAGCTATATCATATCTAGTGTGTATTGCGAATTTCATAATGGACAAAAACATCGAACAAAGAGTTTGTCATAAAATTTGAGTCACTGAAAATGTTACAGAAGGCTTACTGTGACTTTATCAAAAACATGTGCTTATGAGTGGTACAAAGCGTTCAAAAGCGGTCGAGATGTGATGGAAGATTTGCCTCGCTCTGGTAGGCCATCCACGTCTACAACTGAAGTTAACATCGCAAAAGTGAAAGAAATGGTGACTGAAAATCCTCATTCAACTTTGAGAGAGATAGCCGCCGAACTTTCTGTAAGTATCTCATGAGTCGATCCGTACCATTTTAAATAATCATTTGGGTATGAAACATGTTACCGCTCGGCTAGTCCCAAAAGACCTGAATTTTCACCAAAAACTCAATCGCATGAGTCACTGAGGACATGCTAGATCGAGTCAATTCCGACCCAAAATTCATGAAACGCATTGTTACTTGTGACGAGACGTGGGTTTCATCATCATCATCATCATCATCAGCCTATCGCAGTCCACTGCTGGACATAGGCCTCTCCCATTGCACGCCACTTAGATCGATTTTCCATCCAGCTCCATCTTCCATCAGCATCCTTCTCGCATCCAGCAAAGATCCAAAAATTCAACGCTTTGTAACGTGGGTTTACGAGTTTGAAATGCAAACTAGTCAACAAACTTCGGAGTGGCGCCTTCCAACTGAACCGAAACCGAAAAAACCACGCCAAAGTCGATCAAAGTCATGTTGACCGGAAGGTCAAACGGTATATAAAGAACATTATTTGAGCGTTACGCGTTAAGACAGCAAATTCGACGAAAAAGGCCAAATTTGTCGAAAGATAATTCTTGGATTTTGCATCACGATAACGCGCCTTCGCACAAGGCCATCATTGTGAACGAATTTTTGACCAAACACTCAACAAATACCATCGAGCAACCACCATATTCACCAGATATGGCTACAGCTGGCTTCTTTCTTTTTCCTAAACTCAAATTACCACTTCGTGGCACACGTTTTCAATCGGTAGAAGACATAAAGGAGAATTCTTATCTTATGATACCGCCAGCAATCTTATTTTCTTAATGACCAATAAATGACGATTTCATTTAGTCCAATACACTTTTATTATGTCAGAGGTGGCAGATGAGCAGACGGGTTACCTGATGGAAAGTGACCATCGCCGCCCATGAAGTCTGCAACTCAGGAGTCACAAACGCGTTGCCGGTCTATAAGTTTTTACTATTCGAATCGACTTCGCTTTAAAAGAGAGACAATGTAACAGTTCTATACAATGATTGGTTACGTACCAATTGTTTATGTCCCACTATTAATGAACAATGGATCGGATGAAGAGGAAGTTCCTCTGTTTATAAGCCGCAGTGTGTTATTGTAAATATTACTAGGTACCTTATACCCATTTACACTACGAACTGGGAATAAATTGATACCAAATAGACATAAACTGACGTAATAAATCTGTTTTCCTGTCGCAGTTACCGTAAATGTCAGTCGTACATAAAAATACATGTAACATACATACTCTTAATCTTTACAAATAAATAAAATTAAAGTGTCCGTTTGTAATGTCAAAATAATAGGTTTTTTCGTGCTCATACGGTTATTTGCATGATACATATGCCTAAAACCAGTTTAAAATTGTTTTGTCTGTCTGTTTGTTAAGGGTAATCTTCGGCTCCACCGATTTTGATAATATTTTACTACCAGGTAGCTGCCTATATAAGGAGTAACTTAGGCTATTTTTCCTCTCAGATAAACCCCAATAAAATTTTGCCCGGTCCGGGAATTGAACCATTGAGGCATCGCTTTTAAAATTACACGCGAACGAAGTCGCGGGTACCAGCTAGTCTTTATATATAAATCGGTTATTGTAACATTATTATGTCTTGTGTCAAAAATTATCGTTACTGATCTGAAGGTCACTGACATGACAATGAGATGGTGGTGATTACACCCATGGTGGTGATTTTACAACCATAATTTTTTTCTTTTGTGTTCTTCTTGATACGGTCTTACCGTATAATCTTTTGTTTGAGAGTTAGTAAGCAGTGGTGACCTTGCGTGAGCAATAGTCGCTAAGTGTGAAATAAACACATATTAAATTTTATCACAATATCAACCACAAAACTTTGGCTTTTATAAAGAAATTAACCGTTTCCTGCTGTTTTATCTACAGTTTTATTTTATGGTCCCTATTTTGCTTCTAAGGGCTGTAGCGTGATGTTACGTAGTCTGTAATCTATTTGAGTGATAAATGTGTTATTATTCAATAAGAATGTTTTTATTATCTGTCTGTTTATTAGATTAGTGCATTTAAATTAATAAAAAAAAGCTTTTCAGCCTTATTACTTTTTTATTTAGACGGTGACTATTGTTGTACTAAAATAAAGAAAATGATACTGTAATGAACATTTTATTACACGTGACTTAATCAATTTGATTCGATTATCTACGTAATAGTAAAATGGTTGCAAAAGTGGTTTATTCCCAGTTGCTGCACGAATTCAAATTACGTAGCTTGTTGTAATATAATTTATAAGATATGTAAACCTTTTCCTTATTTTCATGTGCAATAAAAATATTTTCAGAAAAATTGTTTAATCTAAGATCCATGGCAGCAAGAGTACCAACTTGTCATACAAACTCCAAATACTTGCTGCCAAGCTACTTTGAGTAACAGCATGATAAAATGCCCTATTTGCTACACAGGACTACAGTTAACGTAAATCCAAAGTGTCATTCAAATTCGTCTATCGGATTTTACGTGAATCGCACACAATTGATACACAGACAGACAGACGGACAAGAAACGAAGTCTACTAAGACCCCTGTGCTTATTTTTTTATTTGTCATGTATAATATCACTTCTTTTACAGTTCTATTAAATGTGTAGATAGTAATTTATTTTCTAACGTTCAGTAGTTTTCCCAGACTTGCTTTTGTTATTTTGATAAAAAAATGATTGAAAATAAAATATTTTTAATTTAATTACTCGTAATGTCAGCTGTAAAAGTAGTATGAAATTACATGGAACAAATTTTACCAAAATCACATTTTAAGTTTACATCAGTCCCGTGTTAACCTTATTATATGGAGCTACTGGGAATAAACCGTAAAAATATGTTTGGTATTGAAGCGACCAACTGCCAACTTTGGGAAGTAATACATGTGCAAGGTATATATGTTTTAGTATTCGAAACCAAATCACTATGTAATTAGTAAGCATATCCCTTAATAGTACTTATTCAAACTTATAATATCTGTTAATTGAAAAGAATGATAAACTGTTTATCGGTTACTTAATCAAAACAGTTAACTAAATATTCTCTGTTATGATTTACATGAACGTGTCCACAGATTGGTGGAAAAAGTGTTATACATGAATAAACGTTTTATTAACGGTTGTTATGTTTATAGGTACGAAATTTCGCACAAAGTGTAGTTATTATCTTCACAAATAAATAAGATTCTACTACAGAGCTGGGTATAGTTGAAGATATAGTTTAGACTACACAAAATTATTTATGTATTAGTAGGTTACATTAATAATTTATGTGTAAAATATCCCTGGGAATGATATCGTACAAAGAAATTACTACCCAATAGTATAAACTGAAACTAAGGTAACATATCGTAATTATTGTACCACCTGTTTAACTATAATTTAGACCTATTGTAACGAAGATTAACTATTGCTACCTGACACGAGCCCGTAATCTATACTTATAAGATGTACAAATATATTTGTGATATTTTCTGTATTTTAGGATATTTTTTTATTAACATACTTTATAATATACATGATTTGTAGCTGACATGGAAGGACCTGGACGTATTATTTCGTCTGATTGATAAAATTTGAGAAAATAAAACCTTTTGTAGTCTTTGAACATACTGCTTGGTTCCACACATTTTGATGGTGAACCGACGAGCCTTTTGAAATGTTCTAATTATTTACAGGTTAAAATGTCCTACTTAGAGATATATAATGAGAATATTCGTGATTTGCTGAATCCTGGCCCGCCTTTGGAGTTAAGAGACGAAGGAGGTAGTGGAGCGCCGGTGGTTGCAGGACTTAGCGAGTTGAGGGCAAACAGTGCAGCTCATGTTGCTGAATTGCTGGCAAGAGGCGATAGAGCGCGCACTGCGGAGCCCACACACGCAAACCAACATTCTTCCAGAGGTCACGCTCTACTTAGGTACGTTTAAGAATTGAGTCGTTAAGTTATGCATTGTTACTAGGGTTCATATTTGTTTCAATTACTGCGAAAAACTAGATTATTTAGCTCTTTTTTAATTAAGAATCAACCTACCTTATGATACGTGATTTGTTGTGATAATAACATCAATAGCGCATTGCGAACTCTGATGACTTGAGCCTTACTGAAAAAAAAACCTTATGTTAGCTAACATCTCATGGTAACGTCAGCTTTGTTTTCAGTAAAGATCTACTGAATTACGTGGTGAGAAGAGCTTTTATTTAATCAATTTAAATAAGTTTTATTATCGTTCGTTTTTTGGAAGAAATACGATTTGACTTATATATTTCTCTTTGGATTTCGAAGATATCACGGAATTGTGATGCGGCAGGTCGCCCTTCAATGATTTATCCTCGAAATACGAAAGTGTCTGTGTATGTGTGTGTGTGTATCCGTGAATCTTGTATGTGTGTATAATACACACATACAAGATTCACACAATAAATATAAAAATGCTAAAGGTATATAAACGCAATGCTGCTCGTTACTACATAGTAAATTTGTCTAATTATTTCAGAGTCCGAGCAAGAATTTTAGAACAAAATTTTAAAAATATCCAAGGATATGAGGCACTGGGTGGGTGATGATGAAAGAAGCATGAAATTTAAAGAGATTATTGAAATATTGCCAGGGCAACATGTATTTGATTCGCTGATCTTGTATTAATATACCTACATACTAAGTACTAACGAAATTTGCTATTCCAGTTCATACATTTATATCATTATTTTTCATTCCCATCCAAAATTACTTAAGAAATCAAATAACTAAATACCTTTCCATCATCATCATCAGCAACAGCCTTTACTAGTCCACTTCTGGACGTAGGCCTCTTCTTAGAAAGGTATTTAGTTATTTTATGATGATTACTGAATATACATTACCAGTTCGTTTTTATGTCACATTTGTTATCTTTGTTCTCCAGTGTGACAGTGAGTCAACAAGTAGAAGACGTCACACAGCGTGGGAGGCTGTTTCTCATCGATCTTGCGGGTTCGGAGCGCGCTGGGCTACGCGCGCGCCGTCTCGAGGGCGCACATATTAATAGATCACTACTCGCGCTTGGCAACTGTATTATGGCTCTTTCTGGTGGCGCTAGGTAATATCAGTTCAAAAAAATACATTCTTGAAGAGCTTATGTATTGTATATACAATACTATTTACATCCTATCGTGAATGTTATTTAAAGAAATATACAAAGGCTTTTCTTCTTTTCGTTTGTTACAAGTGAGATTCCAGAAGTAAACGCAACCCTATTGCAAGCTACCAATAACTTGGTTTGCATGCCAAATTATGTATCTCGGATTTAGTATTAATATTGACTACCTACCATATTTTTTAACTAAAAGCTTAATTTTTCTTAAGATCTGTGTTAGTAATATAAGTTATCGAATGAACAGCAATAAAAGGATTCGTTAACAAAAATCAACAATACTTTCTAAATTCTATTCAATCTTAATTGCATGTTACGAGGACATAAATTCATCTAGTCGTACAGCCCTTGAACTTTCAACCTGTTAATGAATGAACTATTTCTATAAAAAATAGGTATGGGAAGGTGTTATACCTGTGGACATTTGCCGGATTTTGAATGAAAATATGGTTTAATAATTTAATTGTTATTTATTAGCCGTAAAGTATTACAAATGTTGTTCCAGGATTAGTTAACACTTAAAAATTAGCAGTCTTTAGTTTTGTACGAATTATGTTGATTAAAATAAACCAGTTTTTTTTAAATCACTAAATTTGTCCACAGGTACATCTTATGATTGTACCTCTGGACAGAAATACTTGTACCTATGGACGGCAATGTACCTATGGACAGATCACTTATCCTTACATAATAATCCTATAAAAATAAATAGAATATCTTTATAAATCAACTTTAACATTAAAGAATCAATTATTCTTTTTGGTTTTGGCATCTAAATAATTTTGATATAGTTCTAAGGCAGAATCATCAGAGGCATCTGAATCACCATCATCTAAAATATAACACTTTTGATATAAGAAGTCTGACTCATCATCTGATTCAAAATTATCTAAATGTGATCTTGATACACATTTCTGGTGATATTTAAAATCGCATTGAGAGCAATTGAGCAGTTTGTAAACATTTTCATGTCTTTTACATCCCATACACATGGCTTAGGGTAACTGGTCATCTTGAAGAATTGTGACCCTTTTTTCTGCAGATTGAATTTTTATTTTTATCTAAATATTCTGCAAGCTGTTTTTCTTCTTCCTCATCAAATACTTTCTTCACGTCATTTCTCAAAATAACTACCCTGTTCTCGCTCAGATCATTCTCCTTATTCATGTGAAGGTATTTAAATATCGTAGATTTTGGTATTTTATATTTTTCTGCAACTTTTCGCAATGAACATCCACTAATTGCCTCTTTAATTGCCTCAGATAACGTCTCTGAACACACCTACGGCGCGTTTTTCCGTCGAGACACTGAAAAATGAAAAAAAATTTGTACCTGTGGACAGTCCATAGGTACATACACTTCGATGTCCACAGGTACAAATCAGACAATACAACCTAAAAATCTATTACCGGCATGATAGGTACTAGTTTACACCGTTATACCGATGTAAATGGATTGTTAACTACATGTACTACAGTATGACTAAAAATAATCATCTATATTCTGCATATGTTCACAAAAAAATAGGACGAAAAAGAGACAAATACTTACTTTTTTGAGCGAAAACCCTTAACGGTCTGTCACCGGTCACACAACAAAAGATACAAAATGGCAGCAAGTCAACGTTGCCACACATCAAAAATACTTTACGGATGCGTTAAATTCGTTAAATTTCTGTGTTTATTTTTTGAAATATCAATGATGTCCACAGGTAAAACCGTTCATAGGTACAACACCTTCCCCTACTATTTAATCGTCACACAGATTTTACATTTAGAGTATATAGGACCCTATATAGAATTACTAGTGGTAACGCAGAGGTCATTTATTTACCTATTTTTATTGATATTATTTAACAGTGAAGCTAATAATTGAAGAAAAAACATATTCATTGTTTTTTGATAATACTAATGGTTGTCAATATCTATTAATAAAAAACATATACGAGAAGATACTGAAGTTTCTCTACCTTTTTAAAAAATAGATGTTTAAGAGTAAACATATTGCGTATAAAGCACCCCTGAAATTAAACTATCATTTAATTTAAAGCAGTTCTAGGCCTATGTATGTTTAAAAGTTTATCAATTTATCATTGTCTCACCTCACACACACAATTCTTTAGCACAGTCTAACGACTTTGTGCGGAAAATACGTTAGCGTGTCATTATAGCTCTAAACCTCCTTATAAATTGCTTTTACACATATTTTATCAAGGGGTATGATATATTGTAATTTATAAAGCTTTCTTAATTATTCAGTTACACAGGTTTATTATTAGCCCTTAACACGCTAAACAGTCTTGAACTGAGAATCTCGTTGGCGCTACTCATTGCAGTTTCTGAACAATAAGGCGTAAATTATCATTCAGGCTCAAAAAAACTTTGAGATGTCGTGAATTCACGCTTTCATTTTCAATATATTTTGCTAACCTTAACAGGAGTTCCTAATGTTAAAAAGATCTTGACCATTGAAACGTATCTAGTGTATTCGTATCACCAACAGTTAAATAACGGTTGTTTCTGTAACATTTGTATTGCTCATTCCTAATAAATTGTAGAGATGTCAAATCAACAAGAAAATTTTTATTATATGTGGATACCATAAAATCAAAATCAAAATCAAAATCATTTATTATTTGCATAAAACAGGTATAAAGGTGGTAGAAGAACATCATATAATACATAGGTACGCTGTAATATAACCTCATAAAGGTGTGCAAATATTTAGTCATAGATATTTAAAAGATTATTTTTTAGACGCTCAACATTACAAATACAATTTGAAGAATATATTCATATATCACCATAGATTGCTCTATGGTGGGTTACCTTAAAATAACAAGCAAGTGAATTTGAACTCTAAGAATTTATTATTTTGATATGATATACATATGTTGTATATCATATCATCTCTGTAATAACTATGTGCTATATTGTATGTATGCATATTTATTAGACTTGCAACGAATAGTATATTCGGCAGTATACCGAATACCGAATATTCGGCGAGGCCCCTGACCGAATAGCCGAATATTAGGCAAAAGTATTCGGCTGGATTTTAGCGCCAAAAACTTGTACAGACGTGAATTAAATTATGTACCTGTTTTATGTACCAATGACTACTTAATAAATGATTATAAAAGAAATGAGAACCTTACCCTTCTAAATTTTGATTACCACAATAATTCAAATACATAGAATCCTCCATTTTTCCAATTCAGAAGATGATTATGTACCTGTGTTATGCACCAATGACTACTTAAATGATTATAACAGAAATGAAAATATGAATATATACGTAATCAATCGATTTTAATTTTTCATTTTACCAATTATTTCTCAATGTCAAAATATATTATTTAAGTATTCGGTATTCGGCCGAATAATATGTAGATATTCGGTATTCGGCCGAATATAATAAAATCAGCCGAATAGGCCGAATACCGAATAGTAACCGAATATTCGTTGCAAGTCTAATATTTATATATGTACTAGCTGACCCCGCAAACGTTGTTTTGCCATATCCATTATTTCTACGTAATATTGAAAAAAAAAATTAGGGGTCAACCCTTGTCATTTAGGAATATGAAAAATAGATGTTGGCCGATTCTCAGACCTACTCGATGTGCACACAAAATTTCATAAAAATCGATCCAGCCGTTTCGAATTGGTGTGCAATAAAGAGGTACTACTTATCTATCTATCTATCTATCTGTATGTTTTATTATTTTGATGTATTATCTTATGTTTTGTCTTATTTGTACAAATGACTGAATTTCTGTTTGGATATATATGTTGTAATCAAATCGCCTATCCCTATCCTGTTAAGTTTTGATGAAGTTCTGAAAATGGGACGCAAAACTATGCAACTAGTGTTCTTAGGCTGTTGCTTTCTTTCAGACGGAATTACTTTCCCAACTTTCCTAAATATAATAATTGGACCTAAACTGTAAGGTTTACAACCTTACAGTTTAGGTCCAATTATTGTATTTATTGTCACCGATTTCTTAGATATTGTATTGTATAAATCGTTTATACTTATTCTTGTTGTCTTAAAACAGATACGTAAACTACCGTGATTCGAAGTTGACGCGTTTATTGCGAGAAGTACTCGGAGGTCGGTGTCGCACTGCCATGGTAGCACACGTGTCTGCTGGTGGCGTCCACAGAGACACCACGCGTTCTACCCTGCACTATGCACAAAGAGCTGCATCTATTACGAACAGGGTATGGAACGATAAACTCTACTCCTACGGTAAAAAGTTTCGTTTTGAATACTTAACTTTTAAATGTTGTGTTTTTAAGGTGTTTTAAGTAAAATTGAATAAATACCTTATTCGAATAAGAGCTCTTAAAATCATATACTGAAATTAGATCAAGTCATTTGCCTCAACACAACATTCAAACCGCAAAACTATTGCGTTTTTTCTAGTTTTGCTGTTTTTACTCACTGGATGGTTTGATTTTTGAGGCTAACTTGAAGCCAAAAAAATACAGGGGTCATATCATCCTTTTATCTATTTCAACTATCCTAAGAATAAGCCAAAGAAAAATATTTCATTTATTTCACAAAGAAAAGTATAATCATAGTGAAAGGTGTATTAATACGATAATTATGTATTTCCAGGTGGAACGAGAATTAGTGTCGACTCCAATGCACCTTTCACAGTACAGGACAGTTATTGGCGAGCTTCGTGAGGAAATCTCTCGACTTAAAGTTAAAATGAAAGACGATCGGACAAGGTATATTTTAGTTCTAATTTAAGTAGGTACCTACGTTTATACATAAATGCCAGTAGTGTTTACATTATCATTAGGCTAAGGCATCGGTTTAAGTTTTACTCAGAATACTAACTTCGTGAATCTGCTCTTAACACAGCGAATAGCTAGCTAGTATAGGTAACTCACCATTTCAAGTGATATCTACGAATATTGTACAAATAACATGTTATGTAAATAACGCAGAGGTGTATTTGGGCGTCATAGGTAGGTAACTATTTTAAATCTGATTTTCTATAAGATTCAGAACATCAGACGGCAGGATAAAATAACTATTTAATTTTTATCATTTGTCGTCTTGTCTTCATCACAGTAAACCAGACGAGTTTCAAATTCAAAATCAAAGAGTTACCAAAGAAGACAGTACAGAAAAAGTAAACAAAGAAGACAACGCGGAAAATGCAGCGCATCTGAAGTCTTTGCGAGAAGCGATTGTATCAACTTTCAAACAACAAATGCGATTGCGACGGCGTCTCATGGAACTGGACAGTCACTTGCTCGGCTTGTCTCTCGACGCTGAACGACAACATGCCGCTATATCGCATTGGGAAGCACGTTTTAATCGCCTTTACAAGCCAATCAATCTTCCTGGATCTCGACTAAGCACACAACAAAGTTACAGGTTAGTCTACAGCCCGATGTCAGCAGTTTGAGTTTTACAATTGAAGTCGAGATTCAGAATGACTGTAAAATTTTAACATTTATTACGTATCATAATAATGTTAGATGCTGGAAGGGATTAAACTTTTGTAATTTGTTTGTTGTAAAATTATATCTATATCAGTAGTGGCCCAGAAGACGAAATTCCACCGTAATTAATTAAATTATTGTGCTTCGGTAAAGACAAAAATACTTTTTCACCATAATTAAAAACATATTCACCACTCGTCAATAATTACTAAACAAACAAAAAAAATGATAATCAGTTGATAAACACAGAATAAAAGAACTGAACTATAACGTAGTTGCCTATTTCGTGCATGTTTATTGCGCTATTTGTAGATTCAATTTTGAGTGGTTTCGTTTAAGCAGGGGTGGTACAGGGCTGTCGTCGAGTAGTAGCGAGCGTGCCGAAGCCGAGGTAGCGGTGGAGCAGGCGTGGGCCGAGCTCGCCGGTGTTGAGCGCGAGCAGGAGGCCGCGCGCGCCGAGCGGGAGCGCGTCGAGCGACAACTCGAGCAGGTGCGCCTCCGCGGCGCTCAGCTTGAGCAGGTACATTCAAATACTAGGCTTGCTTAGCTAGCCAATTTGGTAGTTACCAATTAAAAATAAAATAAAATTAAGCAATATTTATTTTACATTAATAGAACTTATAATTTTTCTCAGAGATTTTATTTTCTTCGGCGTTACCTTTCTATGTCGATACCTTTCTTTTAAGTTTTATTTGTAGTCTAGGCGTTTGCAAACGAAATAACCCTTTATTTGTCTGCTTTTAGGACTGACCGAATAGCCCCCAGTACGTCACCCGGGTACGAGCGCTAAGCCTCTAGGCATTGATATAGTTGTTTTAACTCAATGCCTCTAGGCGCCTAGGGCGCTCTTAAAAACGTAATCCGCCTCTGCCTGTAGTGGTCATGGTTCTTTTAAAATGTCAAAACAACGTATTGCTGATGTTTTCTTTTTACATACGTTTTTACATACCAGTGAGCACCAATTATCACCGAATTCAGGAACGTCATGAATCTTTGTTCGATCGAATTTTGAAATTAGGTATCTCTAAATTTATCTATCTCTATGTTCAACCGAATCATTTCCTGTTTTAAAGGACCTTATTAGCACTTAATTATTAATTTCATCACATACTTGATTTCGAAATCATTATAACTTTTGGAAGACCTGATTTGTACATTTGTTGTGTGACCGTATATTTAAATAAAAATAAGTTACAAAAATACTTGTTACAAAAGTGCTACTATACATTGCAGGCGTTTTTTAATGATAAAATATTGTATTCTATGAAAAAAAATATTATTAATGCAATTTAATCTTTAATTTATATTTTAATTAGAGTTATTTAACTTGTACTAAGACAATGGATAAAGTAACATCGATGAATTATTATTTTAACTATGAGTATGTATAAAACGAAAAAATATTCTTATATATCCCTATTTTAATCCCTATTATAATATAATATATATAAAATAATATATAATCTATTATTATCTTATAAATAAAAACCCCTAATTTTGGCATTTTTTAAATGCAAATTCCTGACTTTGCGTTGCTGGCGTCACAGCTTTAAAGAATCACTTCTTCTGTCGGACAGTTCTGTTTTTTATAAGTATAAATAGGTAAATAGGTAAGTACCTATTGATAATTATGCGCTGTATGATTTTTATTATTTTTATTCGTATGAAACATGACCTCACTAACATGTCACATTCGGGCTGTAGAAAACGCAGCAGAAAATTTGTCGGACAATATCACCGCTGTATTTTATAAGGAATTGGGAATGAATAGTGCAAAAATGAACTATGTATTTGACGCTAAACAAAACATCGATTATCCCACATGTTTGCGTTGGTAGACAAGCTATTTGCGATAAAAAAATTGTCGGACACAAACTAGCAACACAAAGTTTCAAAAAAAAAAATTTACTAACTATTTTGTTAGTAAATTATGCATCTAATTTGATAAAATGGAATACGTATTTGTTAAAAAAGAAGTAATCACGAATTCGACACACTTTGCGCGTGCTACCACCAAACAGCAGCACTTTCGACAATTGTCGTAATAAGAAAGTTTGGTAAACTCTTTAAAATTAAGCTACTGACAAAAACTTTTGTCAGAAGCCATTTATCAGTTAACAGTAGCAGTTCATTTTTAATTAATCATTTATAAATTTGGTGACGTACTGAGGCCTAGTTCTACGCGTTCTTGTGCATCACCCTAAATATTTTGGCAGGCGTCGTCTGCAATGATGGTTACCATGCTATGCTTGGGTTTATTAGACATACAAAACATGTAAAACTGAGTGTCCTTTTTTTGCACAGAGGAGGAAAACATAAGAATAGTGACTAATAATAATTTTGTATTTTACGTAGCTATGTATTATTTACTTCCTAACAAAAAATTTACAGGAGTTACCAGCAACAATCAGTAGTGGTCCGGAGCGAGAAGTCCTGGCTCTAGTGTGTCGCGTGCATGAGCTGGAAGCAGATAAATTGGCGCTGCAGGGGGAACGAGCGGCTCGCGCTCACGAACTGCGGCGTCGAGACCTCGCGCTGCAGAGGAGAGACGCGCAGAGGAGATTATCTGATGAAATTATTACGAGGCAGCGGAGAGCTCTACAAGGTAATACAACAATGACATTAAATGCATTTCGTTTATACGAATATTTAAATGTATAAACGAAATATAAATATTTTTAATATAATTTCTGAAGGTGAATATCATATACTTCGCCCTGTGTAGCACCTTTTAGATAAGACACCGGGTCATTGTTAGGGCGTTAATGCATGGTATTGGAATGTGAAAAAAGACTATCAGCGAAATATACCTACATATTTGTTAATATAAATTCTTTAAGTAATTTTCACGTTTTAATTTAATATTTATCAAATCAAATCTTAGATTTTTTCACCTTTGTAGGTAGATGGATCGCTTACTAAGATTACTACGATTTAAAAAGAAATTTGTTACACTGTACAGAAATAAGAAAAAATAAAAATATATTGTATTATGATGCCAACAATACCCACCGTAAGCTGAAACCTTACGTGGGCGGTGCAGTGATAAGGCTTTCTTTAGCGATTAACGAAGTTGAACTTCAACTATCCAACACTACCTATACACAAATGTAACTTCGCATAAAACTACCTTACAAAATAGTTCGTTGGCCTGAATGGGTTATATTCCCTATACTCGAAGGAGTATACTATAACCCGGCAATCTCGTGCGCGACCGTCCCGCGGGGTGACAGACAGTGGCGGGGGCGAGGTAGCGCGTCATTCTAGCACACGGCTACACACGAAGAGAAGCGTTTCCCTTCCCCGCTACACCACCCGCTACCCGCTGACATCTTGAGTACCTCGTCCCCGTCCTCGTCACCCCGCAGGACGGTCGCGCACGACGTTGATGGACTATAATGCTTCGAACTAACTAAATGACACTAACTTACACTTAGTGTAATTTAAACCATCACAAGGGTATAAGCGTTTTTGAGGGTTCTTCATAATGTTCTCAAAAGTTTACGAAGTCACTAGGCCAGTGTGATGTACTGGCCCTATATTTCAAGGTTTGTGTATGTGTAAGATATAAATAATCGAAAGAACGTGTTTTCTTGAATCTTCTCAGAGATCGGCGTGGGCGTACCACCAGAGCTTGCTCAACTGTATGAGTTATACCAACAAGAGATACACGCGTCCACTTACACAGAAAGTAACGACATATACACTCCACCCTATCGTTTACCGCCAATATCCACTAGGTAAGTAGAGATTACTTGAGTTAGGTTTCTATATTTAGGAAGAGTTTAGTGTAGAATTATATTACTTGCTTGCTTTAAATTTGAAACAAGTGTACAACCAAACCATCAACGGTTATTTTAAATCTGTTCTGACAAAACGTATTATATTTTACGTAAATGGAGTACAATACAATATCTAAGCCATTTTAATGTATAATCAAATACAAGGTATTGTTTACACCATGTAAAACAATATAATAACATAAAGTTCTCTAAACCATCATACATCGTGTCAGTATTTATTGCCTCCAATTATAGAAACAGAAACTCGAAAATTCATAATCCCTATTGTTCATAAGTCTAATAAACGAAATAGCTTGAATAGTAAGTATACAACCTTAAATAGTATTTATATAGTATCACACATCACATCAACAGCCTATAACAGTCCACTGCTGGACATAGAAAGGAGCCTCCTTAGAAAGGAGGTTTTGGCCCACTATACTATTTATATAGTATACTCGTATAAATAGTATAGTGATAAGTAATTTTTGGAACTTATGACTGAGTACCTATCAACTCAGTCATCATCGAACAACATTACAACGAGCACCGGCGTTTAACGAGTGGTTCATTATACTCGAAATCGAACTAATTAGATAATTTAAAATGCAAAATAAATAAATGAAAAAAAAACTATAAATAAAAATGATTTCCCCTTTCAAACTTTTGAATAAATCCGAAGCAACCCAAAGACGGAAATAGGTATCAGTACTTTTTCCAGCAATAAAGTATTTAATGTTATGAAGTTAATTTCTGTACTTATTTGATAATTTGATGATTAGTCTCTCATACTTTTAAATTAAATATCAATATTAGAATAAGTTCCAAAAATTACTTACCACTGTACTATTTATATTGAGCAAACTGTTGTGTGATATTAGTTTATTTACCTCAAGCCAGCTAGTCATAATTTACAAAAGTACATTTCTCATATACAAGCGCCAACGCATAAGGAAAATGACTTGAAATGAAAAGGTACACTATTATGCAAATATTAATATTATGAATAGTAGATGTGAGATTTTTATTCAATTTTTTTCTTTCGTATAAGTTTTCGAATTTCTTACGGTCTTGTTGTTAATAAGACTATAATAAATATAACATAAGAACTTTTCATTGTAACAAAAATGTTCAATGACTAGTCAATTTAATTAAATTGGCAGTGGGGCAATTTCATTACCTTTCAAGAATTGTAATAAGTCCAATAGAGAATTAAATTACTTTATCCCGCACTGAATTGAACACCCTCATACCATTGGTATTTCTTGTTGATCATTTTTATTTTTCAATTTCAAGCGTATTTCACTGCCACTTAAATGTAATACATGTGTTTCTAGTAGGTGAACCATGCTTCGCCCCAAATGGATGGGCTCGACTAGAGTGATACCACGACTTCATAGAAAACCGATGTTAAACAATTGACGGAAGGAGGGGGGAGGGGGGGAGCTTTAAAGGGCGACAATGCACTTGTTTGTGACTGTTGAGTTGCAGGTGCGTCCATGGGCGGCGGTGTTAAGTTACCATCAGGTGACGCACTTGCTAGTTTGCCCCCTATATCATAAAAAACGCAAAATGCTTTGGGTAGTCTTTAAAGAGATCGAATGCCATAAACTTAGCTTCTTTAATATTTACGAAAGCATGATGCTGTACCTATACGTAAACAATGAATTTTTTTTTGGATTTTTTTGGATTCGAGTAATACTCTATGAGCTTTTCAACATTTTTTAACAATGTGTTACAGTCTATCGGAGTTAACGTGGTCGGAGAGTTCAAGCGGTTCGGGCCGTGGCTCTAGCTCAGGCTCAGGAGGCACATTGCTGGACTACCGTCTGCCACCTCTTGCGCCCACGCCTCGGCCTCGCACCAGATACAGGTACTTTTAATAACTACTACTTAATTATTGAATTAATTTGAATTAGCTCTTTATGAAGTGAACTAAATACCTACATAAAAATGACATTTCATTGTTATCCTTATTATTAGTATTCTTTTGAATGCATTCACCACAATGTGATAGTAATCGGCATAAAAGTGAAAAAACAAATGCCTCAAAATTTCGAGATTGTCTATACATCCACCATTGTATCTACATATAAACTGTGCTTCGGGGATTCACATTAAATTCAGTGACATTTGTATATTGTTTTCAGCCAAGGTAGTGCAACCACCCTGAAACGATATGCGAGCGATGAAAGCTTGGTAACAGCGGCACACCGGAGGGACCCGGCAGCTCCTTGAACTACAAAATGTTGAAGATTTATATCGACTGTGACTCCTATCCATTGTTTCTAAATTAAATTTAAAGCCAATGGGGTTTCTTAAAGATTTTAAACGGAGTTGATAAATATCTTTGATTTTATATCATGTGCTAATAGGGAATTGTCTTATTATACCTATTATAAATACAAAAGGCAGAGTCTTAAATTAGTTATTGTTACTGAGTGAAACTTCAGTTTCACTCAGTAACAATTTAAGAGTGACAGATAAGTGAAGATGGAAACGTGTTCTTACAAAAAATATGTTATACCTAATGTTATTTTTCGTATGTATAATAAAAAAAGTTGTAGTAAATTAATTCCACATAATTACATTTTAACAGGCTAAGCCATTATAGTATTGAAGATTAGTTTATAAACTTTGTAGAATAATTAATTTATGACCAAAATTTATAGATGCTGTAGATGTATATATTTCGTCAAATTATGTAACGAGTGTTTTATGCTGTATGCATATCTAGTTTTTGTAACATGAGGATGAGGTGATACCTAGAATTTTACCTCAGGTGATGATGGATTGGAAAATAATTTTGAACTTCTACATATTACAATTGGTAACTCAATTTTAACTATTTTAACAGTTTTTTCTTTTGACCGTTCTTTTCAAAAAACTATATAAAAATGCCAAGTGTAAAATAAGCCTAAAATGCTTAATAATATATTTCTAAACTGCTTTAAGGTATAAGAGACAGACGTACATTTTTAAACGTAAATAATCATTTCGAAGCGTGTTAGATATTTTCTTGCTAATTTCCAAATAAATTAAAACCAGCTGTGGCAAACTTTATTTTTAAATTACTTTTTGTAGGTATTTTAAACATTTTCCGGCCGCAATTTTGAAAAAAATGTTAAAATTGGGTATTGAGATCCTTATTCAGTGTCAGTTTAATCTTTTCCTACTACGACACTATGTAACTAATAAGCAGTAGGTAAGCTGTGATTTCTTTTTCCAAAAAAACTTTTGAAACCAGTTACTACAAATATTTATTCTGACGTTAATATTCTCACTATAAAAAATCTGCATATCATGAAACTTTAGTACCTGCATAAATTTTATTTAGGTTACATAAAAGTATCTCTCACTCTCAGAGTTATGAAAAGACCGATTTCTAGCGCGTAGATTCATCATTCATTCATCAGATCATTCGAACTCTCTGTGTGAATTTGTCTGAGATTCAACATGTCTCGTTGTATAACTGCCGATTGCTTAATATGGTGATTGGGATGCTGTTATGTTTGCGCGCTACGTAAACTCTAGTATTAACCATATTTCTACCCCGCAGTAATTTCCATGAGCGGTAAACTAAGCTGCTTTGTCACAAATTTCATTCCATATTTTTTTTTTTTTTTTATTGGGACTAATCCCACCCACACGCCCACCACTGTAACTCCTGTACACCAGGATCCACAGCAGTGACCCACGAACACACCGAGTTATGACACTCGGGAAGTAACAGGAAGAAATTAAACTGTCTTGGAACCCGCAACGAAATTAATCAGAAGAAAATTGGAGGAGTTGGAAATACAGTAAATCCACTTCCCTCCTTAGCAAAGCGGGAGACAAAATGAAGTAAAATAGGCATACACCCTTTTAAACAGGGAAGCACCACGGCCACAAAATATTACGGGTCCTACATGAGCTATATTTGATTTCTATAATATGTATGGCAGAATCGCCTAAACGCACGGAAATTCACCCTAGTTGACACAAGATCCCCATAGTATACCGCCCCAGATGTCACCTGCAAGCTATTCAGCATTATACTACGTTCATTATACCAAAGACTACATTCCCAGAGGATATGATGAGCAGATTGTTCATAATGAGAGTTAGGTGTAGAGCATTGACACAATGGTGACTCGACTAATTTAAATGAATACAACTTGCTCCTAAAGTTACCATGACCCGTAAGAAATTGAGCGACACAGTGATCCACCTCAAGCCATGTCCTCGACAACCGTTCGCGAACTGATGGAAAAAATTGGTAAAGATGGCGCCCCTTGGATGATTCGTCCCAGCGTTGCTGCCATTCGTCTATGAGGTCATTATAGACATCGGACTGCTGTTGAAGCAATCTTGTAATTTTACCGCGATCCCGCGCGCCCAAGAAATCGCATTCCATGTTTTGTCTTGAATAGTACATGGCTGCACGTCTCTGCACCTCGAGATCGACCGGAAGCACACCCGCCAACACCGGCAAAGCCTCAGTGCTAACCGTCCTATATGCCTTGCACAAAAATATCAGTGCAAGTCGTTGGCCTTGTAACAGTTTGCGACTTACAGCGCCTACGGTCGCCCTATCGGCCCATACAGGTGCACCATAGCACATAGAACCTAAATAAGTAGCTCCGTATATGATCTTTAATGTATTAAATGATAGACCCCATGTCGCAGTTGATATCCTTGTCAATGCACAGAAACTCTTTTTAGACTTTTCATTAACTGTTTTAATATGTTCGATAAATGAAAAGTTTCTTTCTAAAACTAATCCTAGATAACACACTGCGGTTTTATTTTTTACAGTAACATTGTCAAATCTAATGCTCGGCGGTGATTTGAGGTTACCTTTTAAAAGTAGCTGGAAGGTTTTGTTGGGTGCAAAAGTTAAGCGATTACGTTCACCCCATTGAGATATCAAGTTCAAACATCTATTGGCTAATCTCTCAAGCCCCGCCCTAGTATCAGATTCCACTAGTAATAAGCCGTCATCAGCATACGCGTTCAGAGTACATCCGGATGGTATTGGTATCGCAAGAAAATCGTCGAAGCCGATATTCCACAAGTATGGACCTAGCACCGATCCCTGAGGACATCCCATTGTAAGCGCCTTCGACACAGAATGATGACCAACTCTTAGTTTAGTTGTACCGTGTGAAAAGTACGAAGAGATAAGGGAATAAATATTTTTAAAGCCCCGTGATTTTAATTTCAGCAACAGCATGGGCCACCATGCGTTGTCGAAGGCGCCAGATATATCTAAGAAAATAGCCAGCACGTATTGAAATTTTGACCCTGTGACAAACTTTCTAACCGATATAACAGCGTCAGTTGTCGATTTACCCAACGTAGATCCAAATTGTCTATCATGAAATTTGACTCCACCTGGCAGAAGCCGGGGCACTACAAGACGTTCTAAAAGCTTTCCTAACGATGGTAACAATGTGATTGGTCGGTAGGATTTAGGATCATCCGGTGGCTTGTCGCCACTTTTTGGTATTATACGAATATTAACGCACCGCCATATACGAGGAAATATTCCTTCAGCAATGCAACGTTTAAAGACAGTGAAAATCGTGTCACCCGAAAGTTTACAAGCTTCTTTTATCATTTTGTTAGATATTTTATCATCGCCCGAAGCCTTGTTTAGCAAGGATCTAATGATACCGAGAAATTCGTCTGAAGATGGTAAATCAGACATTGGAGACAGTGGTGGTTCGATGGCCCACTGCCTGATCTGTCGGTGATGATCAGTGTCGTTTTCCGGTCGATCGTCAGGAACGAGTGAGTCTAAAAGATATTCTGCTGTTTGTTCTACTCCTGTGGTATATCTGTTATTAATTTTGATGTTCTGTATGTATGCAAGGTCGATTGATCTATTTGCCTTAAATTCGTGATACAAAGGTGACCACGAGCCCTCTCTATCGAGTTTATCAACAAGTTTCTGAATTAAGTTTCCTTTGGATTTTTCCACAGCAGCTCTGTAGTGGGACCTGGCAACTCTAAGAGCAATGAGAGCATTGTTGTACAAATCTCCTGTTACGTTATGTTTTTTAATAGTGTTTAATTTTCTACGAGCTTTCCGGTAGCTTCTACGTAGTTCGGCTAATCTATCATTCCACCAATCACATCTACGAGTGTTAGTGATAAATCCGCGACCAATAGTTACATCAGCGCAGTATGTAAAAGTTTCTGATAGTATTTCTGCGCTTTCCTCAGCTGATAAACTATTGCGACTGAAGTCTTTGTTATGAGTTGCAAAGAGTGAACCAAACAAAGCCCAGTTCGCACCTTTAGTTTTATATCTAAAATTATAGGGAGCCCTTTGTGGATCCTGTGCAACCCTTGGTATGAATTCGTACACGATCAAGCGGTGATCACTACAGAATGCGTCCGGAAGGACACGCCATCCGGATATCGAGACGTCGCCGCGCGTAAGCGTCACGTCAATAGAAGACTCACCCATTGGGTTGCAAAAAGTTGGTGGTGCATCGGGGGTATTGTGAATAATAAGATTCATTTCCGCAATGAAATCTTCAACCGCACAACGTCGAACCGTGTCGGTTGAACGCAACTTGCCATACTATAATGAAGATGACGCATTGACATCAGCGCCAATGATAATTTTATGTCCCACGAGGAACTGCAAGACGTAACGTAAGTGATGTAAGTGAGGATCAATAGGATGTGAATATTGAAAATAGCAGCTCACTACGTAAACCTTACAGGTAGAGGATGAGATCTCAGCAACGGCGCAGTGTGACGTCATAAGATTACGCAAAGATGTTACCGTAAAATTAGAACTTGCAACATATATCCCAGCCTGCGAACGGCAGTCAAGCTGTACTACATTACGACGCAAGTGAGCGCTCTGATATTGTTCTTGTAAAAGGACAATGTCTAACTTTTGTTCTAAAATTAAACGGTTAGACCTTTTAATTTTTTAATTCTGATGTAGCTATTTTATCGTTATGAAGATTTAACTGGCCTATCGAAATATTATTCATTACTTAGTAAGTTACTCTTTAAACTTTTTTTTTTTTTAAACTAAGTTAAACTATTCAGTAATTGGTATTTAATATTAGCTGTTCCAGTTTTAATTTGTATGTGGCACAGTCGTATGAGCCGCATCGATGGTTAGATGGTTTTTTGAACCGCTTACACTGTGCGCACGTGGGCTTAAAATCTGGTGTGTCTTTATCGGGACAAGCTCGCGTTTCGTGTGCGGCGGCGCAATTAGCACAAGTAGGGGTTTTAATGGTGCAAAACTTTCAAAACATTCCATATTCCCAAATAAAACGTCAGTTTCTTGTAAAATGCAATACAACTCATCCAAATCGTACCGCTTGAAAAGTTTAAAATATTTTGGCACCCCTGATGTTGAGGTTAATTTTTTTGTTACTATTTTAAAAATCTTCTATATACTCGTAGATGTTTATTTTTATATTTGTATATTGTTGCTAAATTTAACAGTATAATGAGTTGTGGTTATTTTTCATGATTCGAAGAAAGTGAATAAATAGCCAAAAAATTGCTCTAGTTTTATAAGTTTTGTTTTTGTTACTAACTGTGTGCAGTTTGATAGTATAATCCTGTATTTATATTAAACTGTTATAATTTTAGTTGATTCTTGTCCGTCCGTTGTCACTTTAGTTTTATACTTAGATTGTGTGAGTTAGGGTTAGCAAAATGTTTTGTAGGATTTGTAAATTTATTTATGCAAAACTTATTGAGTTGGTTTTAATAAAAAAATATTATTAAAAATATTTTAAACATTGTTGTTTTATTTTTACTGTTTCTTTTTGTGTTGTTTGTATTGTAGTAAACCAACGTCATGCGATTTCATTCATAGGTTTTGGAATCTGAGTGATTAATCCTGAGTCACCATATTTGATGTTGTGGTTTATTCAATGGTAGGTTTTAACAAGGAAAACTTGAATATAAGTAAATAACATCACCTCTGTGGCTATAGGTACCCGGTGACTATTAAAATGCTTTCTTAACACGAAATGTGAATGTGGCTATAGTTCAGCTAATTAAATAGCTATTTGGACAAGTTATTTATTAAATAGCATTGTACACCGGTCACACTATCGTCCTTTTAACACATTCCTTACCTGCAACTATAGTTAAACCGCCGTAAGCTTGGCCCTCCTGATGGTTTGCGGGACGCGGGGCGGGTGATGCGCTCGGCTATACATGACACGATGTACTAACTCGATATCTTCAGATTTATTTGTTTGAGATTTAATCTACACACGATGTAATAAAATCGAATTTATTTCCATGTATTATAATGTCAGTGTATTGTAAGTTTTTATGATTAATTGTAAAATGTAATACTGTAAAATAATTTTAATAAAATCACCTTATCTTCATCATGTAAATTATATTCAGATACAATTTAAAAATTCAGTAAAATAATAAATATTCTTTATTAGAACTTTAACAGTAGAACCTCTGTAAGCCGAACTTCAAGTTTTTAAATCTTTTTGTGACGCAGAGTCGGCAGATTATCCATGTTGCAAAATAATACCGTGTGTAGCAGTCTTAAGAAAAATAACACGTACGGCCATGCTTTCACGTCAGTCACTGCCGGCGGACAGCGACGCACTAGCTAATTGGTTGAATGCATCCCCGCCCCGCGTCCCCCAAACCATCAGGAGAGCCAAGCTTACGGCGGTTTAACTATAGTCGATTAGATACTACCACGACCAAATCGGTACACGTCCTTAGAAAAAACATTAAGATTGATCTATTTGAATCAGCTGATTCTGTGAATCAGCATACATGCTGCACGTTTTCTATATACCTACTTATGATTTGATGGTATCATTTGTTGGGTTGTTCGTGTAGATACATGCAACGTGCAGCCTATGACTATATTTTGACGATCATATCGCTTCAGTTCAAGTTCGTCAGAAACACTTTTGATTGTTTAGTCATGTATAAGTTAAAGTAACATTGAAGTGGTCGTATCTGTGTTTGAAATATCCTTTAACATTTTAATAGTACGCTAATCGTAATAAATATGTTTCTTATAGGGTGTGCCCTATGTTTGTAAAGAATTATTTATTATAGATAGCTGTTCCTCTTCCACATGATTACAAGTTGCTTTTATCCCTGTCACCTGATGGTAAGTGACTATCAACCCCTCTTCTGGTGTTAGCTTCCCGTTCACTCATTTGATATAAATGAACAAAAATAATTGCTTAGCGCAGGCTTTTCTAAAAGCTCTATCATCTAGAAGCATCTAGAAGCTATCACTACGGTCGAGCCGGTTCAAAAGTACCTAAACACCACGGCAAAAACAGACTGACAAACTGATGAAATAGAGACGATGATATCGGTAACGATAAAAAAACACAATCACAATTATCTTTAAAATTTATATTGAGATTACAAATGTTTTTAAATCAACTTTCATTCTAACTAAAAATCTCTCACGGTTCCTAATTATTGCTACAAATTACAATATTACAAATATATTTACTAAAAATAATATAGTGTATGACGCTAATAATATTAAGTATATTAATGTAGTTCTAATCCGCTTGAGGAGGAATAATTTACAAATAATTTAATTCAAGCGATTTTATACACTCATACTGCCTTTTATTATCACATAAACATCAAGAATTGATTCTATAATTTTACTATTTTATGAAACGTCTTAAATAAAAGTGATCGATATTATTCTTTTCTTTCAACAATTCAAAATAATAGATGTCACTTCTGGAACGGAAGTCACTAGGTTTATTTTACAATTGATTTATTTAACAAAAAGTAGGTACAGAAATAACTGTAACATACAATTTGACTTCCGGGGCTTGTTCAATATTTTTTTGTTCCTTGGGTACTTTTTCAGTTAATAAGTCGACGTCATATCCTGCTAAAGAGATCGGTCTGTAAACTCTCAGACAATATAGGGGACAGACGTTTGACTGTTTATGACTACAGTAAAGTTCGATTAACATACTTAAGATCATGATATCATTTAACTTGTAGTTACTAATATATCTTGATGATTGCACTTTCAATATACTCATTCAATTCAACAATCACTTATACCCACGAGAACGTCTACGTTAGTAGTCTTACTGTGTACCTAATACAAATTATTAAATAAATGTTTTTATATACGTCTTTAAATATTCATTTGACTAAACACAAATAATCTCATTTACAAAAAGAAATAACATAGACTAGTATTTCCCAATCTTTCAGCACGAATCTTTAAGAATTGAAGATCAAATTGCCACAAAACTTCTAATGAAGGGAAAATTCATACATCAAATGGATTACATTTTACTTCAGTAACGAAATAACAGAAATGGTCGCCCTTTATCTTGGTACTTAGTATTTTTATAAGACTTTTTTGAATATAGTTCCTTCTATCGTATAAACAGCTGAGTAAGCATAGGAGACGCCAAAGCCGTGTATGGCTTTAGTATTGAATAGTCACAAACAATAGGTTGAGAAACTCTTCTAGGCAATCACTAGGATAACAATACAAGAAAGAATATCACAATCACAATACTCAAGACTGACATTTTATCTTATATTACTTCCCTACTTATTATGTAGCTGATTTAGCTTGTCGCTTTACAATCCCTACTAAATACTTATTTATGTATCGGCTTGTAAATAGTCCTAATTTATTGCTTAGTTTAGAAAATAGACAATATATGCACTAAAAGCACAACTTCACTGCCTTTAATGAACATAGTATAAATAGAATATAATATAACAAATATTTTCAACGTAGTAAATATATTTTCACAGTTCTTAGATTCGTCAATAAATGATTAGTTATGTTCTGAATTGTTCATTTTTAGTTACGGTTTCTTTCAAATTTTACTATATACTGTGAAGCTATTTTCGTCATAAGTTCTATTACCTAGGCAAGTTTAATGAATTAAAAGAATATAATTATCCCTAACTCGTTCAAACTTAAATATGGCCACTGTTTTTAAATACTGTAATGACAAAGATTTTCTCTCATTCTTTGCATATTCTACTATCGTTATTGCAGAGTGTTTCCTAGTGAAACATCAAATAACGAACATAAGTTATCCGCATAACAGGTGTTCTGGGTCCGTACACAACGTTAATTGATCCCTCTTAGTAATACATACATATATTGAGCTATTATAGACAGTACACGAATGTCCAATAGATGATGTTGAAAAACACGAAGAGTATCGGGAACAGTATTCGGGAGCGTTTGTCGATCCAAATGGCAATTTCTTGCGGGGTCATGGTGGTCCACGTATGCTTTGGTAGCTCTTCGCCAGATGTCACACTACCGCGTCCTTGACCTGGTTTACCCGCTGTTCCTATTAAATCGTCGAAGCTCTGAGTCGTGATCGTTGGTAAGTTGACTGCAGATGGGAAGCTCTGAAATTAAAACGTTTTTTTTTAATACTAAGCAATAGGAAGACAGTTATTGCGCGTATGGTTTGATGGGTATATTTAAACTATTGTGATAGTCTCGGCAGTTTTATCTTAGTTCATTCTGTTAAATCTAAAACTTAAACCCAACCCAGGTTGATGAATATATGTAAATTGTATAAAAATTATCGTAAATGTTCTGTTATCTCGACAAAAGGACGGGCCACCTGGATGTTTAGTGGCATGTGTCTATCGCCGCCCGTAACAGGACTTGGCAAAAAACAACAATTAATGAACACCAGTTAATAATTTGTTTGGTCAAAACTATAAGTTTAGTAGGTTGTACAGTCCATATATTAAGACTTTTATTAAAGCTATATATCAGATCAAATATACAAAGAATAATAAAGTTAAAACTTAATAAGAACTGTAATAGAGAAAGTATAATGCATAATTTTAACACGTACATGTACTGTCAGATAATTGTTGTATCCAGGGCCTGCAGGATCTGTACTAGTCTCTCGGTTGAGAGATGTGCAAGATCGCGATTTAGAGAGTTGCGGCGACGATTGCAATTCCTTCTGGAACTCTTTACGCACCAGTCGCGGTGTCAATGTGCTCTTCAATATGTACTTACTGTTTACTTTCTTCAAGCTTACTGCCTTCCTGCACGCCAAAATTTTTAAAAATAATTAATATTTTACAATTATGAATAGCATGTGATAAAAATATATAGACTTAGAACGTACTTCCTACGCCATATCGTGTTGACAAAGGCAAACTCGATGAGAGCTGAAAAGATAAATCCTATGCACCCCAAGAACCAAATCTCACTAGCTTTGATGTAAGAGACCTTTGGTAGGGTTTTCGCTTGTGAAGATGCCAGGGTGATGAATGACAACATAGTACTTGCTCCTGAAATAGTTAAAAGAATTGCATGTTAGAAAAGGGGAAAAATAAATATTTATTGAAAGAACCCATAATACTTAGTTCTGACTGTGGTTCTCATGTTAATGGTATGTATTCTTACCTAAAGTAATTCTAGGTGCAGCAGCATCAGCTTGTAACCAGAATGTCACCCATGACATAGCCACTATCATCATAGATGGAATGAAGTAATCCATAAGATAGTAACCCACTTCGCGACCCAGCTTGAAGGTAAATTTCAGGGCACTGTAATTGCCAGCTGTAAAATAGATGAGTAAGTGTTTATTTGTTATTAACATATAAAAGTATAGTACATCAATTATAATATATAAGTAGAAAACGACATTACATCTACCGCCAAGTCTCATATTGACTATATCTCCACGTACAACAGATTCATTTGTCCAGTAATCGAGGAGCGAATACTCTGTGAGATGTAACTCCGAAGATAATCTCACTGGGTTGTCCTTTTCCCACATTAATCGTAAGATAGATGCGTTGTATTTCCCTGAAATTATAATATCATTTTTAAGGCACATATTACGTATTCCAACATTGTCATCAACATTCCCAACTTTTGTGATTCATAATTATGATAAATTATTTATATGATGGGTACTAGGTACTTTGGTTTTTACAAATTGCGTGGTTACAAAACATTACATCTGTAATGAACATCATCTTAAATCTAAAGCTTTGGACTTAATGATGCCTCCTACTAGAATTCTAATAAAGATACTTACAACTTTCTAAGTTCATAGCACAGGTTTGATCGTCAAAAGGGAATTTCTGTAAGTTCATCCAACAGTACAGTACAGCCTGCATTCTGCGACTGAAAAGCACCTCGCCATCCGGTGCTATGGATATCAGGACATCTTTGCTATCGGTGCCCATCAGGCTCGAGGACTGCTCGTTGGACATATAAAGGTGAGGAACCCAAATTCGTTCCCTTAAATCACTCTCACCGATAATTTTAGATCTCTCAGGTGAATACAAAGTATATGCCAATCTTGGGTCGGTCCATCGAAGTTGAAGGAGGAAATGTAGTTTGAAATTCTGAAATGAAATTATTGGTACGATTAGTACAGTGAGAACTTCAATGTTAGCAACTTATTCATATATAATGGCATTTGAGTGTAAGAATGTGTGCACTCAAATCACTCCTACACTCAAATGCTACTCAGTATTAAGACTCCTGTAAGTCTCATCTATAATGCACCTGCACAAAAATCCGAAATAAAGGTTCAAGATCAGAATCAAAAGCACAAAAGTCCTTACCAAATCGTGGGCTTCAGCAGGCTGTATGAAGTACACGTAAGCGCTTGCGTGCACGTAGACGACTTCACCGGTCTGGTATGTTGGTAGCAGCAACCGATCATACCGGCACTGGTTAGCCAATCGCGATAGGAACTCTGATTGTGTATAAATGTCTCCGTTATCCAAGTTCGGACAATCAGGAGCTATGCTCTGTCTGTAAGGAAAAATAAGTGGTAATTATGACATTTTGACAATAGATCATTTATCAGCGTATCACGTACTCTATCAAAGGTCTTAATCGAGGGCAATATGCGAAATTCTTATCATTGATTTTGGCTACTGCGTGTTTTCCTTATCCTAAAAGTAACCTGGCCTTTACACGGAACCGAAGTAGAGGTCGTAGTTCAGGTAGTGGAAGTCTAGTAATCACTAGAGCTATTTAAGAGACTGAAATTTTAAATACCGACATGGAGTGTTAAATGTTAATCAGAAGAAACACAAACTCTGCTCATAAAATTATGAAATTATTATTTTTTCCTTTCGAATTCATGAATCAGTTGGGAAGGTATTTAAACCGTAACCTGTATTACTCATCTCTTCTTCTTCTTCTGTTATTTTTTGATATTGTTTGGGTGACAAATGGGTATGTGAAAAAGATTGACGGTTTCAAGTAAGCTTAGAAGATTGTTGAATGAATTTTCGTTAAAGTCAAATGTCCCCACAATCCTCCGTTCTAAAAGTGAAAGTTTGCTTGTGAATGTGAAAAATATGTTGTTAGATTTTTTTAGGATTTATTAGGAAAACCATGACACCTTAGTTAGTTAGTTCTAGTAGTTAGTTCTGTTTTCTTTAGAGTTATAGTCGCCCAACTTTCTGTTGCAGAGGCCAAAAATGTTGAATCGACTTCAAACAACACTAACAAAGAGCACTAAAAATTAAAAATAATTATAAATCTAATTTCATCAACAGCCTTAAACATAGGCCTCTCCTTAGAAAGGAGGTTTTGGCCTACTATACCGCGCTGGCCAGACGGGTTGGTATAGGGTTTGTCTCAAGTTTTCCTTCTCTTTGCAGTGATGTTCTAAGTATTTAGCTCCCTTAGTCGGCTCTTACGACACCCACGGGATGATCGGAGGTGGTGACAATGCGTATTCTTAATCCGTCACCACACGGACAAATCTAATTTAAAAAATCAATATAAGTGCGACTCTCAATATAACAGGTAACATTATTACAGCAATAGGGTATCTATCTAGTCAAATCTAGTCTGTTTATAATAAAGTCGTAAACATTTTTTTTTTCTAAATGTTTTGTAATCTCATTTATTACTTTCTCACGGACATATCTCTATAACCCAACACAAACACCTCATAAATATCTTGAAAGAATAAAACAAGGTCAATATTGAAAGAGTTATCTTCTAACTCTTAAAGGTTAAGGACCCTCCATCATCAGCTCAGCAACATGACATAACAGTACCAAACGCAAATACCTGTGTAGCTAGAGAAAAAGGCTAAAACACGTTGGTTAGGGCTGTCTGGGCTGTTAAATTTGAGGGTTTCTCTTGTTTTCCCTGGGACTAGATCGTCAGATCCTGATTTGGTGGTAATGGGATCACCTCAAGAGTATGCCGTTCCGATTACATTTCTTTTTTTTAATCAATTTACGGCGATATCGCGTAACAAACATACAAAAACAAATAGACGAATTGAGAACATCCTCTTTGAAGTCGGTTAAAGAAAAAAATTAATTCGTATTGTTGATGGGTAGAAATAAACTACGGAACCTTACACCGCGCTTAACCCGGTACGCACTTGACTGGTTATATTTAATCAAAATTCATCACATTGTAGAGCGACCAAGGAAAATGAACTGTTTTTCACTTTGTGATTTATGTGCATACATAATTTTAACGGTTGACACAAGAAGGTTGACGATCTTTGTGTTATTTTACTAAAACAATGACCTAACAAACGTACTCTCAATAATTACATCCTACATAATGTGGTTTAGGACCTAGTCATAATTTAAGATCGTTATAAATAGCGGTATGGTTATCAATAATGAAGAAACGATATCAGCGTAGGGTTCATCTACATTTACTTTTAAGACTTACATAGGTTATTGTTGTCATCTTCAAGTGTAACATCCAGGGCGCCTGCCATAAATTTCAAGTTATTGGGATTTAATTGATTCTATTCTTTTCCTAAACATTTACTCGACGTGAACTCCTGATTTCTATTTATAACATTATTACGTGATTTATTCAACAAATTTTGATTTTGATACGAGTATTGGAATACCTCAGGAGTAAATGTCAAAAAAAAAATTGTCCGTCGAATATGACGTCGACACCTCTATAGCGCAAACAAATAGTGCGATTAGTATTGCTAAAAACCTATGTTCTATGTGACAATGTTAATGGCCTGGGATGACAATAACAAACTTTTTGGACATTGACTGCCGTCGAAGCATCTATGACAGATAAGTTTTAAAATTTACCCATTCAAAGACTACTTAGTTAATTTCAAGGCGAGAAGCGACGATGCGACGCCCACAACTAAATAAATAATACCACCGAAAGAACTGGACATATAAAAATAAACGACGTGAATACAGTTTATCTAAAATGTGTATTGTTCTACCGATGCAAATTCTTAAGTTCGATTTTTCTTAAGTTCGAAAATAATTATTTTGTGTCATTACGAGTTTAGAAGGTGTTAAACGACAACTTGTCACGAAGTTGCGAGATCAAATGAAGGCTATAAAATTTTGTCATTGTAGACGTTATAATGATAGTTCATTAATAAATCACTGATACGCTATCAACAAGTAGGTAGTCTACGTAAAATCATAACCTTGTAAAGTAACAAGTTTCTACGAACCCTATTGGCAATTTATTAAAACACTTACCCTCAATTACAACATTATGTATGAACGTACTCGTATGTATATGTCACTGGAAAATAACAAGAACTACGAAATTTTATAAATTTCTTAGGCAATTCGCAGGATTCTAAACGAGAGAAGAAAACCTTTTTTTTTTTTTTTTTTTTTAACGTGTGGAAATCCCCTCGGACCGTCACCCCTCCGGGGTTTGCGGCGGGGTGGTGTGTCGGACTCGGACCGACTAAAACCACACGGTGTGCCACTCTGCGCCTGTAACAGGAGGGATCCGGGAACAGCTGTTGTTAAGACATCCGGACCCCTCCTAGCGCCAGCCCGCTCCTGGTGCGGGCTCCGTCTCGATGTTGATGTTCCTCTCTTTAGGCGACGTCCGGCACACGCGGACGCCGCCCCCTCGCGGCTGGCCAACTAATGCGGGTGGAGGGGAAACCCACCCCGTCCACCCGCGGCCACACTCAGGGCGGCATGAGGCTGTGGTAGGCGGGCCTCCGCCGCCCGGTTCGCCGGCGGCGGATCGGGTCCGAGTGGAGGTCGTCCTCCCGGGCCCTCTCCGCCGCCTCCTTCCGCGAGATTACTACCTCGCAGAAGGTTGCGACCGCGGTAAAACAACTGTCGCTACCGGCCATGGAGCGTACTACGGCCGGTAGCGAGAGATCCACTCCGATGACTGCAGTGAGGGCCCGGCGCTGCGCCGCCCATGCGGGGCAGACCGCCAGCGTGTGCTGGGCCGAGTCCTCACTGCAGTCGCAGTGGTGGCAGGCGGGACTCAGTTCCCTCCTAGCGACCGTGTGCAGGTACTTTCCGAAGCAACCGTGCCCGGAAAGCACCTGCGTCAGTCGGAAGGAAAGGGTCCCGTGCTGCCGCCCTGCCCACTCGGCGATGACCGGCTGGAGAGCCTCCACGGCGGCGAAGCCAGCGCGTGGAGTCTCCAGCCGGAACGACCAACGAGCCATCGTGGCTCGGCGAGCGGCTTCGCGCCACTCACGCACATCCTCGGGCGGAGGGCGAAATCCGCTCTCCGCCCGGTAGTCAGCCACTCGCCGATAAACTTCGGCGAGCACTTCCGCCTCCAAATCCCACGGGGGAGTTCCGGCCAACGCGCACGCCACATCCGTCGAAACGGTGCGGTAACCGCGTATGGCTCTGACCGCCATTACCCTCTGAGGGCGCCAGAGGCGTACCCTATTCTGGGCGGTCAGAGCCGCCGCCCACACCGGTGCACCGTACAGCGCCATTGACCGGACAACCCCCGTGTACAGCCGTCTTGTCGCGACGCTGGGTCCACCCATATTGGGCAAAAGTCGCCCTAGGGCAGACGCAGCGCCGACCAGCTTTGGAGCAAGCTGTCGGAAGTGCTCGTCGAAGAGCCACCTCCCGTCGAGGATCAGGCCCAGATATTTCATCTGGGCCCGAACCGGTACGAGGACCGAGTTGACCACGATTGAGGCGCCAGGGGGTGGACCACGACGGGGCCCATGAAATAACAGGGCCTCCGTCTTATCTAGGGCCACCCGTAAGCCCAGCGCCTCAATGCGCCCGACCACCAGGGAGACTCCCCCTGTGGCCAGGCGCGCCGCCTCTTGGAAGTTTGCCCCCCGGGCTGTCACCAGGGTATCGTCTGCGTAACAGATTACACCTAGCCCGGGGGGGAAATCGGCGCGAAGGGCCCAGTCGTACCCTATGTTCCACAAGAGGGGTCCAAGAACAGACCCCTGTGGAACACCGCACGACATGGGCCGACTCCTCAGATTACCTTCTCGGTCCTCGTACACGACGGTACGCTCCTCTAAATAGTCTGCCACCAGCCGCCTCAGGTACTTTGGCACCCCATGATAGTGGAGTGCTTCCCTGATGCAGCTGAATGGCAGACTATTGAATGCGTTGGCGATGTCCAATGACACCGCCAACAGCACGCCGCCACAGCTCACGGCCTCTTCGGTCACGGCCCTCAGGCGCAACACAGCGTCGACTGTCGAACGCCCCGCCCGAAAACCAAATTGGGCGTCCGACAGATCGGGGCCCACCTCGCAGAGGTGCCGGACGATGCGGGCAGAAAGAACCCTCTCAAACAATTTGCCCGCCTCGTCCAGCAGCACGATGGGCCTATAGGCCGCGACCGAATCGGCAGGCCGTCCCGGCTTCCTCAATAGGACCAGCTTCCCGCTCTTCCAGCACTCAGGGAAGCGTCCCGACGCCAAGCTAGCGTCGAACACCTCCCCGAGGCGGTCTGCCATGTGGTTGAGGGCCAGGGCCAGCACTCGGGCCGGTACCCCGTCTGGCCCAGGGGCGGTGTTCTTGGAACGGATCCGTAGAACAGCCGCCCCTACCTCCGATTCCCGGACGGGCGGAACATTATCCTCCCCGTGCTCCCCGTCGTCTCCGGCCAAGGAGGCCATCGACGGGGGAGTGTGTTCCGCCCGTTGTGGGAAAAGGCCCTCAACCACTTCTCGCAGGAAGCTGGGCTGGAGAGTCTCCGTAAGGGGGGGGCCCGACGCGCGGAGCTTTTGTCGCACCGCGCGGTAAGGGCGACCCCAGGGGTCACGATTAAGACCCTCCAGCATCTCCTGTCTTTTTTCTTCTTTGGCGCGGCTAATGGCCAGCTTCAGAGTTTTCCGCGCCCGTCGGTACTCCTCATGAAGCCGGTCCTCCTCACCGTCTCCGCGGTGACGCCGCCGACTGCGCGTGTAGGACCTCCGGGCACGTGTACAGGCCGCACGGAGGTCCGCCAGCTCCTGGGACCACCAGTAGACCTCCTTCCTTGGAGGCCGACGACCTCGAACGCGGGGCATGGCCGCATCGCATACATGCGTAATCGCATCGCGAAAGCGGCCAGCCCCCACGTCGACCTCCTCGGTCGGAGCCTGAGGAGACAGCCACGAGTGAATTATGGCTGCCTCCTCTAGTAGGTCCCGGTTCAGCCTGGCAACAGCCCACCGCGGAAAGCGGGATAAACGCCGCGCCACGTGACCCCTACTGGAGTCCTGGGTCCGGGAGAGCTCAAATCGGATATACAGGTGATCCGAGAGCGTCTCAACCTCTTCCAGGACACGCCAGTTCCTTACTCGTGCGGCGAGGGCAGGGGTAGCGAACGAACGAGTGTAAAGAAAACGGAGAGAAGAAAACCTAACCTAACCTAACCGGGTTGGCGGGGTAATGAGGGAGCCGACCAGCTCGCCAAGGAGGCGGCTCTGGGACTGAAGAAAGCACCGGACTAGAGTTCGGTAAGTTTATCAATTTGCGGAAATGTGGGCGTAAAATAATATAACTACAATTATTTTATTATGCCTTGCCAGTCTAACGATACCCCATTAATCTAAAGCTCAGGCATTTAGAAGTTATGATAAAAAACAATATGTGAATTTCTATATTCTAACGTGTAAATGTATACCTACATGAACCCTGGAAACCTTACTGACACTCCTTTTTTGGGTAGTCGTGTAAAAGGGCCAGTGTCTAGGTCAAGAAGTCGTGAAGAGGTCAAGTCGTGAGAAGTTCGCGAAGTTCTGTATATGATATGAACCTTAGATGTAATCTCCCCACGGCACAATGCCGTGCTACAATAATGCAAGACTAGTCAACAATGCATTTTAATGTACATTTGACCTGAAAATACGTTATCTACTTGATTGTAAACTACTAAACCTTCATTACATTTCAAATTATCCGATTTGTCACAGCCGATTTTTCGATTTGTATAATCGAGGTGAGTGGTATCACAATTCATCCCGTGTGTGTCGTAAGAGCCGACTGAGGGCGCAAAACAATGCAGTACACCAACACTGCAAAAAGAAAGAAAACTTGACACAAACCCTATACCAACCCGTCAGGCCAAAACCTCCTTTCTAAGGATAGGCCTATGTCCAGCAGTGGACTATTAAAGGCTGTTGATGTGATGATAATTATGATCCTTACTCAAAAGAAATACGATGTAGGTACATCATTATTTCCAATTTTATTTAAGTTCAGTGCAAATAAGACCAGCTGGTCTTATTTGGGGCCTTTCGCCTGCCTAGCGGCAACCCTTCTTGGGAATATAATAGTTTTCGGAGTTTTGTTCGCTTTTTTATACAAGTCAAAGACAGCAATTAAAATTGTGTAAAGAAAACGGATAGTTCCGGTGAACTAGGGTATTAGGATGATATACGGGACTGAGACTTGAAGAGGGTGAACAAAGTCCTCAAATGTCCATCAGCAAAAACTATAATATACTTACGTTAGGTATGTTAAAAATGAAAAAAAAAACAGCATTATTAAATATAAATAAAACCTCCGCATTAAAGAAATAATAAATAAATATTATTTGAAATTGAGAGTATGAAGGTGGGCAAAAGTGAACAGTGACATTAAGTTTTAAAGTTATCAATAAAATCTCGGTTAGTGTCAAGCTCTATCTTCTTATAAGTTTATGAATTATTGACAATATCAGCATCAGCAATATAGTAAACTCTAATACACTGATAGTCAAATTCGCCGTTTACTTCTCTAATAAATGAGATTTGGAACAAGCTTCTTATAAAATTCCTATACCATAGAATTAGACGAGCCATACTCGTATTCCTATACATTCGATGACAGTTAATTTTTCCGTGAGGGACAGTGTGCACAGTATGGTTGTAAAGCAAGTGACTGATATGACAAGAGTAATGAGAGTAATCAATCATAATCAACCTGCACAGGTACGCTCAGTCTAGTATTTAAGCAATATATTATGTACTGTTAAAAACTATTAAAGTTTGACGCATGTTACACTCACAGTTATACGGTGTAATCGTGGGTGTAATAGTGGGTCACTAAACGCAACGGGTATTTCATTTTAACAATATAATAAAAAAAAATACAATTTGCACACTACAATTTACTCGACAATATTAATAAAATAAAACATATAATTTTATCACACAAGTGTATCACATAGTAACAATTATTGTATAAAGTACTGATTTTTTTTTGTGTTCATAAGTTATACAGACCATCAATTTTAAAAAACTTTTTTTTATTTTCAAATAGAAAGTCTACAAATTGATATCTACCTAACTGTAAAAACATGAGTAATAGGAAAACACTTTTTGCCTACAGTAGAATAACTATGTTTAAGGTAAACGGAACGAGTTTTACATTTAATAACATAATTCACATCGTATGTCTTAATATGGTAAACATATTTCTAGATAAGTATATAGAAAGATAACAATACGAATTTGAAAGTCCAGTTGTGGGTACATTTAGATTTTACATTATTGCTAGACCTATATATTTCATCAAGCAGTTGAAAAACTGCTTAAAATTAGGTATTAATTACATTTTTATTTAAGCGGAACAAAGAAATTGCTAGCTGCTCCTTGACATGTATTTATTTTATCTATGCAAAATCATGCAGAGAAATGTGGTGGCTTCTGCTTGTTAATCATACTCTCTTTTCAATAACAATGCCTAATTGTTTACTAAAATATGTTGTATCAGTATAATATATGGATTCGTGGTACCGCAAGGTCGGACTGGGAGCTGCTAACGACAACAGTGCTAATATTTGTGGTGCCTGATAACATTATGAACCAATTCTCTTGCGATATCAACAAGATTTACTCTAAGATTACCGCAAAGCCATTGGATATGTCTACACTTAGCACACTTTACGCACGTATTCGATCTCAAAATACAATTTAATTTTCTTTCAACAGTTTACTTTTAATAGTAAAAGATGATTAATTCTGATAAGAGGTGCTTTAATTAAGCCTTTGTATACTTGCACAATTTTACTTAGTTTACATTAGTGTTTAAACTTTGTTCAGTATGTACGTCTATTTGTTTATGTGTTTACACATTCGGTAGCCTGATTCATTTCAATTACGCACTTAACTTCGCTAACCGCTTTTCACTGACCAAGTTCACCAAGGCAGTTAGTGTGGTGTTTCACATGGATCTACACTAGGGTTAGATTTTTATAACCATAATCATCAAAATATAATCGAGGACCAAAGCCATCAAAGTAGTTGTCGGTTTTGTCTCAAAGTGACGCACAAGAATTTTAAAATAATAAGGTACTGTATATTTATAGTGGTAGGTATATTTTAAATAGGCCAAAGGCCAATATTACCTCTGTTTAAGTGATTTTTAATAAAAGTTTATATTTTTTTTCTTAATTATTTAAAATTATAAATTTTAACCAAAGAACCTTGTTTTTATTTATAACCTTCTTCAAATATTTATCAAGATATGAGTGTTTGAAATACGGTAGGCCTTATTTGCATCTCTTACCTTACCTAAATACTATATTTTTAAGGATCTCGTTAGAAGTAAAGGCTTAGCCGCAAGATGCAATATCATTACACGCTTATTATTGTTTACTTTTATAAAGTATATGTATAATATGCAAATCTAAAACAAACGCAATGCTAAAGTTACAAAAATTAAACACGACTTGTAGCGTAAATCATAAAAGTTTGCCTTTTTTATTGATGAGCGCATGACGCGAAATTTATCTCACAACCGGGTCCTTTCATCATTATGCTTCAATAATTCGAACGAATCATATTAGCATTACACAGTATGTGATTGTTTCAAACCTCTCGATCTTATTTAATAAAAGAAGAAACTACAGAATATTCTGCCAAATTTTTAAATGGCAAACACACGCAGGTACCACGGTATTTCTATTAATTAGTAGGTAATTATTAGAATGTTAGAATAAATTATTAGAAATGATTCAATAGAAATTAAACTGCATATATACGAGTATATACATTTATGGATAAGTACAGTGAACTCAAACTACTTACGTGTAAGCTGATTACCAGCCATCTGTTTACACTTTTTAACCGAATGGTATGTAGCCATGGGTTTATCTGGGGATGTATGTTTGCAGTATTTATCCGTAAGCAAAATAGGTTGTGCTACATAAACTATAACTACGGTATCGTTAAAATCAACATCAAGTGTACTGTTTAGTTAAGTTAACAGAGTGTATTATTTCTGCATAAACAATTTGGGTAACCGTTAGATGAGAATTGCGAAGCGTAGAATGATAATAATAAAAGACGATGCGAAACCATGTAATTATGAATGAAATATGACAATATTTTGTAAATTTCGGGTAAGACATACTCCACCTACCGAATCAAGAGATACGATTGGTGATTTAGGCGCTTCAGTGTAATGAAGCTTGCAGCGCATATTAATTTCAATTAACGAATGTAACACCAGGTGTGGCTGCTTGCATCACACATCCCATCAACAGCCTTTAATAGTCCACTAAAGAGGTTTTGGCCTACGGGTTGGTATTGGGTTTGTTTCAAGTTTTCATTCTCTTTGCAGTGTTCTTGTCCTGCGTTATCTCCCTTAGTCGCGTTTTACGACACCCACGGGATGAATAGGGGTGGATGGTAGTGTTGTGACGGATTTGTTGTTGTGTGTGTGGTGATGGATTAAGAATACGGAGTGTATTCTTAATCCATCACCACACAGATGAGGCTCCATTAAATTGACTTCTTTTTATTTGAATAACGCCTGTATGCTGTATTAATACCTGTATGCTTTATAAATACGAATATCATTCCTGGAGGTTGTTTTCTGACTTAAGTTATTAAAAAGTAAAAGTTATTTAGTTCGAAAAGATATATCATGGAATACTAGATATTAAAATAGACTTTAGCTGGCATTGCTACATTCTAACCAGCGGGTATTAGCAGAGTGATGGATTTTAAACGAGCTCAACATATCGGTTACTGCAGGCACTTAAGTTTTATGTCTTGTTACTGGAGTTTATTTAAATGTTAACTCATCTGCGGCAAAGACCGCAATTATGTTACTTATTTGTTCATTTCTAATTCCGATTGTTAGAAGACAATTATTTTTAATTTTAACATACCAAGATACTTTATTTATAACTATACGGATTTACATAGATATGCTTTGTGATATAGTTCGTACGTACTAACAAAGTACTCTTCATTCTATAGCCTTTTTATTTTTTGTATATTTGGCAGTCTCCTTAACTTTTTTATTTATTTTATTTACAATTTATGTGGCAATACAGCACACTTCCCATAAATAAGTCACATAAATAGACTTATATAACGTATGTAATGGTAACAAATGTGTCGTATGAGCAAGTCCAATGACTCTACTAACTAACAGAAGAAAGAAAACCTACAAGCATAGTGCTTCTATAAATGTTATGTACAAAATTAGTTCTTTAGTAACGAACTCATTTTATCGTAGAAAAGCGTGTGTGCTTTTCAAGATATTTTGTACTAAAATAACTTTACTTTTACTGATATCGGTTAATAAAATATTTTTACCACAATTGAGATCTACAACCCCACGTATTTTACGATAAAATGATTTTTCTTTTTGAAGTTATAGAACATAATTTTCTGCTTTTTAGTTCGTTTAGTTACAAAAGCGTGTTTTTTAGTTTTTTAAACTATAATTTATTACTCTTTAAAACAAAAATGATCAGTTTACATCATAAAGATCAGACACTTATTTGTCTTGTTTGTTTAATTTCTGAAAGGAAGCACTACAAAAATTGTGTAACTTTGGGTAAACCTTTAAAATATAATTGTCATGAAAAATACCAATGCATTGGCACATTTAAATTAATTTGAAAACTATCCCTCTTACAAATTGCAGTCAAAGTACTTAGTTTTACAGCTGAGACTATTAGTTAGTACCTAGTTAAGAGTCTACGAGTTTGGTACAACCGGAAATACGTACTTACATCACGTACGAATTATCATCTATCGACAAATACAATGTCATTTAATGATTTTTATACACGTTTATCGACTAGTCAAGCATACATATGTATCTTCTCAATTAGTACCATCTACCAAAACGTGTCTGAGTCTGAGAACAATACGAAATAGGAACATCATAAAAGGAAGAACCACCTTTTGGGTAACAACACTTTTAAGTAAAAAAAACCTACTTTTAAACAAAATTGTACAAATATTACGAATTTTTGAGATGACGTACGTACGTACAGCTATAAAGCTGTAATAAGTGCTTAGCGTCTATTGCAACAGAGCCGCCAGATTAAGGCTCTCGGTTCACCTTGTGGTTTCCTACTATGCTGAGTGTTGTAGGTTCGATCTCCACATAGGACAACACTTTGTGTGATCCACAAATTGTTGTTTTAAGACTGGGTTTCTTAATGCACGTAAAGTCTTTCGCGACACAGGATATATTCATAGTGCGGGAGTTTTCTTTAAAAAGACAAATATTAAGAAGTTTTCACCTTTCGACAGCGAGGAATAGTGCTCTCTCTCCCACCGCACAGAAGACACACAAGGTTCTAAAGAACGTCAGGCGATCTACATTTATTTTGCCGGAACAGAACTGGCGCGAGTTTCGAAAAATTAAAAAAGAAATGCCATTCTCTAACCCAACTGATTTAGCTATGTACCTAATCGTAAAATGTCATTTAATTACATAATATTTATCAGTTCTTTTGGATGGAGCTAATAGATTCTATAAAAAATCACTGCATGAAAAAGTGAACGATATTATACTACTTACATAAATTTATTAAACTTCTGTTAACACGCAATATAAATATTTATTGCCGGAATTAAATTCAAATTCTTTAATTCAGACATGAGTCAGGTTAGTATTAACAAAATAACTAAAATACACAGAAGTGTTAAAACACCAGAAATGTGATTAGGACTATAGACACTAATTGTAACTGTAAGTCAAACCAGAGGGTCAACAAGTGTGTACTTACACCTTTGAAAAGTAAGTTCTCATAACCTAAGTAATTTATTATAATCTGTAAATCATGTCCTTCCATTCTCATTTATCTGAATAATTCTACAAAGATGAAAACTTCCTATTTGTGCGCTAATTATTAATAATATTTTCCGCAAATAGGTCACAATATGGATTACGTGTAGTCACGTACGGTTACTCACGAAAACTGTTATTAGATATTAACTTTCATATTAACGTAATTAGCAATTATTACAAATAAATGACGCAAATCTCGCCTCATACAAAGTAATTGTTAACAACTGTGTTCGTTCCGCGATTTGTATGAATTTATTATAACGCATTCTGCAACACGTATATGGTTCTGACTGAATACCAGTCTCTTTTGACAAATTAAATGCAAGCAAAAATAGGGTTTTTTTATTCTATGAATTAATAGATAGGAGGTAGGAGGATAATTTAGACAACACACCACAAGCCGCCAGGACATTGTATCCCTAAACAACTGAATAATTGCTCATGTTACTGTTGTTTTGTGGTTGACAAATATTTTATTCATCCTCTGTATTTTACTAAAATATTAACATGGAACGTGGTTTTGGTGAAGACAGAAAGTATAAATCGTCCCTGAAAAAGATAGATAGATATATACTCTTTATTGCCCAAAGATTTAGGCAATATATAATGTAGGTATGCTTACATTGTACATTGCCTAAATGTTTGGGCAAAAAACAAACAAAAAAACAGTGATACAATAGGCAGCCTTATGGGCATCGTAGGACTTTTTTGCCATAAACACCGAATTTTGTTACGGGAATTTTGAAGATCGACGTGTTCTGTATTATATTTTATTAAACTACATCCATCACACATCATTCCAACAGTAATTCATTTTGAATAAGGCAAAAATGGCGTTTTTACTATAGATATGGCGTCGACATGGCGTCTAACGCTTTAAGAAAATTTAATGCTAGTTATTGATATTATATAACAGAATAATTTTTTATTTGATTTGTCAACAATACAGACAATTGTTAAAAGTATGGTCTGGCACAGATTGCTACTGCCAGTAGGGATGTAGGTGAAAATGTATCGATAGGAATTAGTGGATTTGTTATGCACCTGTCTACTAGTTCGAATATGATGATAGCAGTAGATAAACTAGCCGGTATAAAACTTGTATTGGTCTCAGGTTATTGTCATCAATGATGAATACATACCCATATAGGTTTAACGTACATATGTCTCAAATGAGTTTTACTGCTATGTGTACCTATCATACAGATATGCACCTACATATCACAGTAGGTATTTCGTACATCAAATATTTAATGTCATCTACATTTCGAACACACAAACTAAGCTCGTCAGGTTTCTAATCTTTTCTTAATAGTATAGCATGCTGTTTTCGTATATTATACTCGTACGTAGGTACTATGTAGGTATATAAATTGCAACGCGCCATAGATAAAGATAAGAATTTTCAAGTGTTATAATATTACATACAAACAATATATAGGTAATTACCATTTTGCAAATTGCATTCTTAGATCTTTTTTTGCTTATATCCTGCTTTACGTGGTGGAGGATATTTTTTTTTATAAATGAAGCAAATTAAGTCCAAAATAGCCATGCCTTTAATTTACTGGACTTTTATGTCCATATACCTTAGCTTATGTCAAGAGTGAACAAATTACATCGTACCGGTTTCCATGCTTGAAAAAGCGACATTTAATTGATTCACAGTGCGTATTTACCTCAACAGCAAGGTCACAATATCAAGATAGAGGAAACTCGATTTGGAAGTTAGTTCGATTATATTCATCACACTTTTGCGAAAATGACCTTGCTTACGACAGTATTGCACTATTGATACGTTCTCGGTAGTCCAAACTTATATATGAAATACTAATAATAATAGTTAAAAATTTGTGCCATAAACAGTCATAAAATAAAACTAATAAACCGACTGCTATTATTTATTGTACACCAGATGGATCTTAAGTTTATGACTATTATGCCCGTTTTCACCAACTATACTTAAATCATCTCCTTACTAGGAGTTCCGTAACGTAGGTAACCCCTAAATACAACTCTTATCTAATTTCGTTTTCACCATGCTAAGTGACACCTAACTAAGGGTCTCCTATTTTGTAGGGGTTTCATAAACCGTAAATTTGCGTAAATGTTTTCCGATTGTATTTTTTTTGCAATATAAAATTATTAAAATAATAATTATTACTTAATAAGAAAACATTATGTGAAATGAAATACTTTTTCTATATTTAAAGATTTAATTATCATTTTTTGGTAATTTGGTGCTGAAAATGTAAATTCCAATGCTTCGAAGTGTCAAACTGACAATTGACAAAATAAATAGTCGTTAGGGTCTTAAAGTAAATATAACCACAAAGCCATTAACCAAAAGTTGAGTTGAGTTGAGTAAAGTTTATATTTTTTAATACAATGGCCGAGAAAAGGAAACGTAGTCAAAACTTTACATCGGAAGAGAAAGACAAACTCGTGAAGTTATTAATGGATCATAAAAATACAATTTTAAACAAAAAAACTGATGGATGTACGAACGAAGCCAAGATCTTAGCTTGGAATCAGCTTACGGCATCTTTTAATGCTACTGGCACTGTATACAGGTATGATGTAAGATGCTTTTTAAAGTTATTTCATTGCGTTTGAACTTTTTATCTTAAGTATTTGTATTTTTTCCTTTTTAGGACAAAGGAATCACTTATAAAAGTATGGGAAAAAATGAAGAGTGAGAGCAAAGTGTATTATAACTCCTCACGAAGGAGTGCAGTTCAAACTGGTGGTGGACCATCTTTAGTAAAGACTGACCCTATACTAGAACAGGTGTGCAGTATTCTAGGTCGGGGCTGTTCTGGTATAGATGGCATAAATGACAGTGATGCTCCAACTTGTCTAGCTGAAACCACCATCAGTGTAGAGGAAAGTGTTCCTAAAATCTTTGTTTTTGATGACTTAACAAACAGTGGAACTATAAAGCTAGCAACTGAAGTTCCAGAAACGCCAAAGGTAATCATTCTATAAAAATACTTCTTGTCCCGTGATCTGAGATGCACTCCAATAAATGAACTTATTTCAATGAAGGTTTATTAATATTTTTTGTGTTGTAAATTGAATTTAAAAACTATTGATTTGTCAACAAGAATAAAATTTTACTTGTATACCAAGTAAATTTACATAAGATGTTATTGTTTTAGGATGAGGTTCCAAAAGAAAATTTTATTACCAGGACACCAGTGTGGTCAAGAAGACGGCCTGTATCATCTCATACAAATGAGAGATCTGATGCAATGAATACAATTTCTTCTAGTTATAAGAATGTAAATAAAAAAAAAGAAGATGTGGAAAATCTTAAGCTAATGATTCTCAAAGAAGAATTAGAAGCCAAACAAAAATTGAACCAATTGCAGCTTCAAGCGGCAGAAAAAGATATCATTATTAAGGATCTAGAAATAGAAATAAAACAAGCTGTACTGGACCAAGTTAGAGGTAATTTTATTTATTCATAATAAGATATATTAAAATTAATTCATACTTTCAAAATAATTTGTAATTTGGCTCCTTTGATAGCCGTATACTGGGTCATTATTAATCAAAGGTGGTAGAGGTATCTGTCCTGCTTGTATTAAATGTTCCAAATTTGGTATTACTCCATCATTTACTGGCTCAGGTTCTTGTCTTATAATGCATATGTTGTGCAAAATGCAGCAGGCTAGTATGACATTAATAGCATTTTGTAATTTGAGCCTTAATCCCAAAGCCAGTACCGGGAACCTTCTTTTAAGAACACCATACTGACGCTCCACTACATTTCTGGTCTTAATGTGGGCTGTATTATAGCGTTGTTGACCTACTGTGGCTGGGTTCAAATATGGAGTCAGCAAATGGCTCTGAAAAAATGTAATATGACCTATGAGTATTATTATCTATATTAACAGATTTAATTTCAAAGTAAAAACATACACTGATTTTTATAATAATAATAGTATTATTTGTTTTCAGGTGGTGGCTTAGCTCTTCAACATCTATTTGGGACTCAGGACAAAGATTTAAAAAAATAATTATAAACTATAAATTACTTTTGACTTTTATTTACCTTCAAAGGATATCCACTATCTCCTAATAAATATGAGCCTTGGTAGTCTCCTCTCTCAAATCTCTCATACCGTCTGCTATTTTGATAAATAGTTGAGTCATGAGTAGACCCTGGCCACCGGGCAACAATATCTGTGATTAATAAGTTGGGAGAAGAGATGGTTTGCATATTAATGGACATGTAACTCTTCCTGTTTCGGAATAATTCAGCATCATCTCCACCTATTAAGCATAAAATTATTAAAATTAGAATGATTTCATTGCTCTAGACTTAAATATTATTTCAATACAATTTTAGATGTTTACCTGGTGATTGTATTTTTATGTGTGTACAATCTATACAACCTAATACATTGGGGAATTTGCAATTTTGAAAAAATCTGATTTTACTGTAACTTGCTCTTGTTCTGTTTCTGGAAATACTATGATTTTTTTATATAATGTTACAATAGCTTCAGAGACTCTCCGTATAATACGGCTGCAACACTAACACTGATGCCGCCCATATCAGATACTGTTTGCAAATGACTACCCGTAGCGTAAAACCTCAGTGCACATAGTAATTGTTTTATAGGTGGCACTGATTTGTTCCTGTAAAATAAAGAAAAACCCTTGTTAAACGGTTTGACCAGGGTAGGGACCATCAACATTTCAAATAAAATATATGTATAGACAAAGTCACAGTGCCCGCACCAACTGTTGTGTTTCTTTGGGTGAAATCAATGTCCCGGAGCCCTTTAAGTATTCCCATCTCTCCCAAAACCAGTAAGTACACTCTCTGTGAACCACACACCTCAGAAAAGCCTTTGTCTGGCTGCAGGCGGTCCTAGTTACGTGCTACTCTTCATTCTTCCTTCTTTTCTTATTTCTTTTTAGGCAAACCTAGCTTTCGTCCAAACTTAATATAACTAGTCTTACGAAAATAATAATTGTATCACTTACCTGTCATCAGGATATTCCAATATGTGTTCAATTTTATTTAATAAAAAGATAACACCCCTTGGTTAACCTAAATCTTGTAACAAATCTTTATCGTCATATTTTGTAAATAAATCCGGTCTGTCACGGTAAATTCTCGGTTTATTGAATAACCTAGGATTATTCATCATCTCTAAAGTCTCAACAGTATTGAAAATATCCCATAAATCGTCCATTTCAATAATTTTAAACAAAAGTTGCGTCAAATTGCTCTGTCACTTTGTTAGGGGTTAGTTAGGTGGTCAACATTCGGGCCCCTAAGTTTTAAGAGACACCTAAGCACTTAGGTGTCCCCTAAAGGTTGGTGAAAACGAAAATATCACTAAGGGTTACCTAACTTGCTCTAGGTGGCCCTTAAAATTTAGGGGATGTTGGTGAAAACGGGCATTAGTCTACCAAGCTACCTTCGGATGGATTTAGCGAGTGGTTCGAGTGGTAGCTGATGATGTACTAGTCGTATATGTATAACAATACATAATAATATGCGTAACTAAATGTCTGCATACGTACTTACTGCAATAATATGAGTAATCATATATTATACAGTCATAATACATATCAAACAGTGAGTTAATTAGCTAAATTCCAGCGAAGGCATAATGGTTTGAGAGAATTCTGAGAAAACTCACTTATAAGCAAATAACTTAATTAATTGTACTACACAAAGTGTCGCCAAAACCATTTCATTATGATTGTTTATTATTATTTAGCCATGTCCCAGGGCCCTTAGGTTGCCAATGATCATATAAATCCACCCAGTCGTTTACATAATATGAGGCAATAAAGTGTATTAATATAATAATTTGACACTTATACATGTTATGTTTATAAATCATTATCTATCTTTCCTTGGTAGGTAGTGTTCTGCTTGCTTCTCTTAATCTAGAGGTCCTTAAAAAATGCATGAGTGATCTTTTTTGGAAGAGCTTAGCTAGACCGCGACGGGTCTCAGTGGTAATTTATGTTAGTAAGCGCGAACCCGCTAATAAGAGATATACATCCCTATTGGTATTTCCTGCTTTTTCTCCATTTATTAACTTCATACGTCTTTAATAAAAAAGATACCTTTAATCATTGGCTCAACACTATAGGTGTTTGTACATTTATTGGCGACCTAGACGTTGTGTGTTAAATGAATATTTCACTTCTTTACAAGGTTATAAAATTTGATAATGGAAGAACGTCAATGACAGATTCAAAGTGTGTAGGTAAGTGAAATGAGTGCTCTTGTGTTAAAAGGCAACTGACTGACACAGAGCTAGATATGAGGTGTAAGGTAAGAAATTTGTAATTGACTTGATTGACATATTTCAGATTTTTCAACCCCAAGTTACGTACCGAAGACTAAGCCAAGGAAGAGTTTTTGGTAACTGTGATACATTGTATCTATTATTAACACCAAATTTATCGGAAGAGCTGTGAAATGTCACAGAAACAACCATGATTCAATCGATTACTGCAACTATCGACTTTCATAGTTTACGCTGAATATAGTATTTATTAATTTGAATAATTTCAAATTTATGATGATCTAACGACTCGTGTCCCTTTTTTTTTTCTTTTTTTTTTTCCCGTGCGGAAATCCCCTCGGATACCACCTGTCGGTGGCATGTCGGACTCGAACCGACTAAAACCGCACGCCTTCGCCGGGTACTAATAGCCGGGGAACCAGGTATACCCTAGAAAGGAAGGCCCTGGTGCCCCGACATACCTCGGGTCATCTACAGACGAGTAGACGACCCCCGCCCCGTGTGGGAACCCCATGTTCCCTGTGCTCCCTGGAAGCGAGCGCGCTTCGCAACGCGCTCGCCGCCACCCCGGCCTGCTTCTGCTAGGGTGACAGATGGCCTCACCTGTCACCCCCAGGCCTGCGCTTATGGAGGACGGAGGTCGTTCTGCGACCTCCGGCGCCTGAGTCGCCTGCGCTGCCTGGCCCGTGCCCGGGCCTGGCGGGCCGGGAGAGTTCTAAACCTCTCCCGGTCCCGCTCCGCCGTCTCCTTCGCGAGCATAACTTGCTCGCAGAAGGAGACGGCAGAGTTCCACGCACTCTCGCTCCGCACGATAGCCGCAATCAGGCTATCGAGCGAGAGAACTCCCACTCCGATGGCCGCCACGAGGTCTCGCCTCTGCTCAACCCACGCCGGGCACTCTGCCAGCGTGTGGAGAGCCGTGTCCACGGTCTGGCCATCGCAGTGGTGGCACTCAGGCGTTGGCTCCTTGCGGATCAGACACAGGTGATCTCCGAAACATCCCTTCCCAGTGATCACCTGCGTCAATCGGTATGAGAGGGTCCCGTGACGCCTCTCGAGCCAATCCTCCATAACGGGTCTTACCGCCGCAATGACGGCGTGCCCGACGACTCGTGTCCCTGAATGGAGACTAATAAAATTAAATCCTTTTTTACTATGGACTCGATGGTATATAATCGAAGTGGGGCAACAATATGGCGGTTATGGGTAGGTTATGGATCGTTTGTATGAACGGCGGAATGAAGACTAGTATTGATATTTTGGACAGTTGAAACCCTATATTAGGTCGATATAGTAAAAGGCATTGAACAGAAATTGTTATTATTAATAGCCATTGGGGAAAATAACAAAAGCATGTGTTTTATTCAATTACCTTATTAAGCCTCTGGAAAAATGTTATCGACATTGTTGTAACAGTGTAATAGAGAATGAAATTAAATAATTACATGTGGTAAAGAAACCATAACAGGTATAAGCGATATAAAATTTAAATTAAAGAATTATATCTTCAAATATAAGTAGCTTGCGTTCACGTTGAATATCCGCAACATAGATAGGCTTTCTTTTATATGATCGTGTGGCATAATGGCTAAGTCTGAAAATGAGGTTGAAACTTTTGTAGCGTGGCATATGCTAAACTGGCTTCTCAAGCAGATCCGTGTAATATACTCAATTTCATTGTTATACATTACTATTTACCTATACTTAAATATTTTAATAGGTAAACATATACATTCGTTTAAGTCTTTGTTCAAGGAAATTTGGTTAAAATACCATATATTATGTCACAGTACCGAGTCCAGATCACTAGTTTATCTCAAAACGAATAATATTTCTTTTAAATATTTTTTTCTGTGATCTATTTACTAAGTACCTATTCTGTTTTACCATAGCAATAATTAATTAGGTACGTAATTACATTTCATGTTATGTTTAATCTTTAACAATTTAAGTGTGGTATTAGAGCGGTAAGGTCGTACACAAGTGCCAGCGCACGCGCCTACATCTGCATCAGAATAGCCGGCGCTTGGCGACGCTCATTGTCATCTCCCAGATGTCAATGAGTGACGATGCATCTTCCTTCCAATATACTATATTAGTATTCTACAGTCGCATATACAGAGTCGTGAGTAAAAATCACGCAATACCATTTACTGTACAATTTATTATTCTTAATTATGTAAGGACTCTTAATTATTCTTATGCGTAACTGAGTATTTAACGAGACATGGGTAAAAAAAAACCGAGTAGCATCTGCCTGGCGTCTTATTAAGAAGCAAACTAGGACTCAAAATACATTTAAAAAAATATTATTGAGTTATCTAATGCGATACATCATTGAGCTATTAAAGACAAACAGAAATAAAGCTAGTTTATCGCAAAAACAATTTTGATACTTTCGTCAATAAAACAATCAAGATTCTTCTTTCGACTTCACATTCCTAAAACTTTACCAACACAAGCAAAGCCACACTGTAATATCTATAGCAATCCTATGGAAAAAGATTTCAATTCAGTAGGTACTGTACTTCTTGCTGTCCTTTAGATTGCTTTCAGGGTTGCCACACATAGACATGCCGTTACATATTTCCTTATTCTAAATATAAACTTTCTTTATTCAAGACAAATCTTGCCTATTTAAAAAAAATGTCTAATATTATAACTTATGTAAGACTATGACATATTTATGCGAAAATTATGTAAAAAATAAAGTGACACTCAGTTTCAAGGTCCGTAAC